GGTTGACCACACTTGAGGCATTGCGTCTTTGAGCCACATTCTTTTATAGAATGCATGAAACCTAAACAATTAATACACCATTTATGTGATTTTACTACACCATGTCGATCACGGGGAGCTAGAGACAAGAATTGAGGACATTTGTAGATGGGATGGTCGGTGTCACATAAAGGGCAAGATATTTTGGTCTGGACATGGAAAGAAGATCGTTTTTGAGCAAAGTTTGACACAGGAAATGATTGTATGTAACTACGAGCTTTAGTTTCATTTTTCTGAGGTCTTTTTTGAAAGCAATCAGATGCCCGATCAAGAGAGCAACAATGATTCAATACAAAATCTCTGAGAGTATCAAAAGTAGGAACATCATTTGATCCATAATCAATTTCAAACCTCGAGACTGTATCCGAATCCAATCTGCGAAGTAGCATATTGAAAAGGAGAAAACTCCATTGCTCAGTAGGAAAATTTAAATTTTTAAGAGCAGCGATATTTTCCGTATATGTGTCCAACAATTTTCGGAGGTTAGAGGAAGTAACATTATTCTCAGGAATCTTAAGAGCATTTTCCAACTCATGATAGTGAGCTGTAGCCAAAAGTCTTTTATTTTCATATCGTTTTAGTAAAGAGTTATATGCAACCACGTAATTCGGATCACTAATAGGATTACATTTCACTAGAGCGAGTGGTGGACCAGATAACGATGTTACAAGATAATTAAACTTTTCAATATTTTTCAGAGAGTTATTTTCATGTACTAAACTATTGAACATGTCAATAAAGGTTTTCCACTGTTTGAGGTTTCCATCAAATTTAACTAATTCGATTTTCGGTAGCTTAACATGACTTGCATTAGTTAATACATTATGAGCAGTATCTTTAAAATCGAATAGTTCGTCATATATCGATTTTGAATCATAATAATCTTGATAAAACACCTGCAGTAAGGCTTTATGTTCATCGTTATTATAGGTTTCAGCAGTGATCATTAGCGGAATCAGAGCAGCATTATGACTTTCAAAATCTTCATAGATGGACTCTAAGTGGGTATATCTGGCTTTGAAATGTGAATGAATATCACTGGAAGTTCTTGCTGAATTAGCAATAGCACATAAATCCGACATCCGATCCATGCATATTTGGCGGAGTTCTTTATGTTGCTTGATTTTATTCGCCATTATGGATAAGTGATCGATGTGAGGATTAATAAACTTCCAATTCAAATTTCGAGAGGAACTATAACTTTTGACTGCACCTCGTAAGGTTTTTTTTTTTTTCAAAATAGTGTTTTTCTTGGACAAATTCAAAATGAGTTAAATAAAAATAGAGAAATTATTGTACAATAAAGATATCTAGAGAAATAATTTTTTTATTGATGAGCAATTTAAGATCTTTGTCAAATCAAACAAAATTAATAATGAAACGTATACGTCGTATCTATTCAATAGGTCTACTAAATAATGCCCACACCTCGTATAATCAGAGATCCCGAGAAACCAATTTCCAGCAAACAGATTAACTGATAGTGGTCGTACCTTTTGTGGGACGACAAAAAACTCATGGACAAACCCAAATCGTCAGAATAAAATTGTTTTTCTTGGATAAATAAATTGTATCGAATTTATTAATTTATCAATTTCCAGAAGAGAAAAATCGAATCACAATATTAATAATCATCGTAACTCATTCTATATGAATAATAAAGAAATGGATTTTTATGATTGAGACGTGAATTTACGTTTTTGCTCCTGACCGTGTTTTACCGAAATAAAAAAAAACTAGATAACAATCTGTCCAAACAGCTTTCAATGTACAATGCTTGATGATATATCGATGCTAGAAATTATATGAGAATACAAATGCCTTTATAATGAGAGAAATGAGTCAATAAGAAAATGTTTGTTTCTAAATACCTATTTTCGAGAATTTTCAAAGCGAGATGTCACAGTTCGACACTAAACGAATGTTTTATCAATTCATCAACCATATATTTGTCTAAATATAAAAGATGGAATAAAATCTAATAACTTCTGCGATCGTCAACAATCCAAAAAACATCCTTGGGTCGTAAGGACCAAAACATATAGCTCATTGAGAAGTGGACTGTATTTTTTCATAGGTTTGAAGTGTCTCAGATCGTTCCGTTATCCGAAATTTATTCCTATTTATTGTTTGAATGAGAGAGAGCAAATTACGAGGCTGTGGTTCTTACCTGTGTGCAAGTAGAATTCATCTATGGCTTCATAGGTGGAGGTGAGGAACCAAAACTATTAGTAACACGACCCGAGCTGGCCAGCGAAACTTCAGTCAAAACTGATCTTTCTTCGAGCGAGTCTATTAGTCAATTCATCGATTCTTCGATCGAGTACTGCTCCGAAGAAACTTCTGAGCATATACGAGGCACGCTCCATATTTACGCACAGAATATGAAACACTGCCTATTTTCGCGATAATGATTCATTTAATGAAACAAAAAAATATATAATAATTAGACAAATACAAACAAGAAAAGGGTGAAGACGGAACACTGGCCATAACAAAAATAAAACTCAACTTAGATCTTTGAACAAACATCTTTTGAGGGAAGATTTTACCTGCCACGTTTTCGCTACCCTTATAATTATGGTGTGTCTAATGGCAAGGGATGGCAATTCGAAACCTTTTTACCCATACACATTGCTGAAATCTATAATCTGCATTTCTCCGTATGCCTCTTTGCAGTGCCAGTATTGCCAAATCTTTTGTAATTTCCTGAAAAATCCTACCAGAGTCGATCATTCTGGCATCACAGAGTTTGAACTTCTTTCGTTCAAGATATGAACAAAAAAAATTCTGAAAATCATTGAAAAACAACATTAATTTCTCAATTTTACTTACTTCTATGCTGGTATCTGGTTTTTTCAATGTTCTGATCTTTATCTCTTATTTTTTTGGGGAAATAATAGGTGTTTGAAAATAATTGTTTGACACATGTGATTACAACACTGATATCACCGTCATGAACCGCACTAGTGAAAAATTGTTCATGGCTTCTGTTTTTCAATCAAATAGTGTGACCAACTGTCTGTAGACTTGCTTATTGAATTTTTATATGAAAAAGAAATTGCCTCAATAACAAATTAATAGTTATCTTGTTCTATGAAATTAAATATTTTCCATGAATAAACTCAAGTATGTTTTTGCCTGGTTTAGATAAAAATATGTCTTGTAATCTATGATGTTATCTGCTAATTGGAAATGTGTCAACGTCGCACAATCACCCCTCTTTACCTTCACCTTAACAAACAGAAATTTTTATCAGTTATTATTTACCTACGGCCGTAGTTGACAGTTACTCTTCAGAATCCGAAGATAAGAGAATTGCTTGACTTTGATTTTTTAAATTGTTAGTTATATGTGTTGTGTACACAGTTTGATGATTCAAATCTCCAAATGTGCGGCGAATAATACCGGATTTATCACGATGGTAATGTTATTTTGCTTTGAACTTTTTTGTAACGTTTCTATTGTCTCCACAATAAATGGATGAGAAAATCGTTCAAATTTTGTGTGATCTCAAATTTCAAATTTAAACGTCAATTTATTGCTAACTTCATGAATCCATGTTAATAAATGAGTATTCATTGGTTTTGTATGTTAGAACTTGATGTTTACCATCATGATAATACATGATGAAAACGGAGAAGGAATTTAAGGATAAATAACATGAATGGACTTTGAACATATTTGTATCGAAAATGAACATTTTTCTGTTCATAAACTTGAAGTTCTGTACTGATATCTCACTATCATATGTTAGGAAATTTAATGAAACGGATTAGTATAACTAAATTATATTAACTATACTGACGACCAACAGTACCACAACAGGTACCAGATGCAGAAATTTACCAATCTGTGGTTCCTATACTTCTTATAGGTAACTCTAAATATGATTTTATGTAAAAATGCAAAATCAGGGCCGGCCAGCAATTATTCAAAGAGGACACCCAATATTTCATGTATTTCCAGATTTTACAGGATAATATGATTCCAAAAATTACTTTTTTATCAGAATAACCGGTTTAATAAAAGTATTTCTTATTTATCACTTCTTGAATTCGTTCCATGTGAATGTATACATTTCATTAAATCGTGTACGCATTACTGCTGATTTTCTTGTTATGTTGACCATAAATGATGGGAGTAATTAATTTCTGCAATTACACTTCCTTGCATACAAAAGTGATATTGAGAATAAGGACAAATAATAATTAATATTTCTATCAAAATAAACTTTCATGCTTTATATATACCTAACGAATAATTATTTGTATAAAGACAATTTACAAACAAGTATAACTGTGTGAGAAAATATATTCATTTCTGGATAAAAAAATCCCAAATAAGTGGTAATAGAGACAGGGTGATTTTCACCCAAATAATGTTTTAGTTTTTTATTGAACGTTACTCTAGAGCCGCCGCCATGTATCCTAAAAAATGAAATCATAGTTTTTATGCTGACTTCAGAATCATGCTTGTATTGAATTTTTTTTATCTCTTGGAGCGCACGAAAGGAAATTCCTATAAGTTTCGTGGAACATCGTGCGTACCTAGGGAGGATAGGGAGAGGCGGTAGGTGTTGGATTTTTTTTCGAACTCTGGAGGTCATAACTTCTTGGGAATACTTCCATCAACCAGTTCTGACTTTGCATAGGCTTCACATATATCACAAGTATGTTGCTGCAAACATTTTTTTCTAAATGAATGAATCAAAGAAGTGTAAAGAAAACATCTGCCCTGCTAGCTGAGCTACTGCGCATACTAGCGAGGAGTCGACATGCGCACTGCGATTTTGAGGACACGAAAAATGCTGACTGAAACTACTGTTTTCTGTAAGGGTCCGAACTGTGTTGTAAATAATCAAGGGCCTGGATACATGATTATTACATCTTAACTATCGTAGTTAGCGTAACAGATTTTGTTGAAAGATCTTATCAATTTTTTGTTATTTTCTAATTCAGTTACTCAACGACAAAAGTGACGATGACGATATCGAATCGAGGGCGGGGGTGAAAAAGAAAGGCGAATTGCTCCAGCAACTGCTGAAACCCGAAAGAGAGGGCGACGATGACAAGCGGAACGACCTGCAGTGCCACGATGACGCCCTGATGAGGAGCCTCGGCTTCCCATCTTCGCCCAGCAGCAATAGAGGAAGAAAACGGTCTATAGAAGATAGAGACCACAAATCCTCGGATGGACCACAGGTAATGAATCGAAGATCTAAAAATACATTACTAGATTGGCCCTTGCCTTATCGTCCTGTACGAAACTGCATGAATTGTCAAAATCTAACAAATTCACGATGCGGCTATTTACCTCCAACTCTGCACATTTTCACTGCAATAACTGAATCTTCTTCAACATAGGTAATACTCATCTGCTGCAAGTTATCTGGTAGTATTCGATCCAGTTCATTTATCCACATAACTGCTGAACAATTTCAAGCCGTGAATGTAGCGTTCCACATGATTCGCCATCTGTTTATCTTCTCTGCTTAAACTCGGAAATTTTACAGATGGCTTGAATAGAAAATGACTCATATTCATGCCAATACGAACGAAGACAGTCTTTTGACTCATTTCAAGGTATCAAATAAATTATTGCTAGTGACATTGAAACAAAATGAGGGACAAACTCAAAGTGGGGTCTTTCCTAACTCAACAGCTAAGGAAAATGTCATGGATATAGACAAATCGAATATTTGACCGTTTATCAAATGCTTTATGAAACCCAGCATTGAGTTTTTTGCTTTAAAACACTTATGGATTGGAGTCCGAAGTCTTCAAGGACATAAACTCACACTAAGAATTCGAATCAAATGAAAATATCTTGCAAACGTTTCACCCAACCATGAGCTGATTTCGTTGCACCTCACATATTCCTCTCTCTTTAGGCACTATTCAGGAGCAATTAGTCCTTGAATGAAAAAAGAGTTTATAGAGGTGATTCTTCTTTTCAATTAGCCTTATCACACTATACTGTTTCAGCACTAACCATACGGATTTTCAACGCTTCAATACGAAGTTCACTCACTATGTTGGTGTATTCAGGAGATTGAATATTTCATTTAGAACGTTCACATTATATTCCTTTTCGTGGTGGGCTCCAAAGGATAAAGAAATACAAATCGAATATTCGACATAAAACTATTCAATTCAGCTGCATCATAGAGATTCAATGCTCAGAAAGTGACAACGCCGAGTTTCTCTTATGAATGTTTTTTTCACGGTCTCGCCATTTCTCGTAGCTATGGCATAACAGTGTTGCCACAAAAGTGGTTTTTAGTCTTGAAAGGTAGTTTACATTATTTTTCATGATTCTCATTGATTATTTACGAAATTCAGTTTGAAATTGTTTGTCAGTGCCAAGTGCGCAAAAAACTATGCTATTAACAATATGTTTTCTTCCACCCAAAGTGCATACAACATGAGAACAATGCATGTGAAATATCCTGCACATAGGTTAACTTTAACAGAAAAATGCTCTCAATACACATGTGTAAAATTCTTCAATTCAACTGGAACCTTATAACCTTGTAGACTTTTGAATATGATTTTCTCTACCTTTTTTGTAATTTCTTTGTCTGATTTACCTGAACCACTCGTTTCTGTATATTATTATTATTATTAAATACCGATTTGTTAACCGTATTCACAATAATACTGAGGTGTTGCCAATAGGAAGTAAGTATACCTTGTTGACAAATGTCCTATATTTTATTCTTCGTCACTTTCACTGAATGATTGGGTCAAAACAAATTTATTTCAAAACTTCAATAGATATAAGGCGTTTGATGTCAGTGTCATTATTTTAGCTTAACATGATTTTGTTATGTCATATTACACTTGATTCAGCCAATCGACCATACTTGTGCAAGATGTTCTTAAAATTGAGATTTGATGGGTCTGGTAACTTAGCATACAAAGTCGTTGTGCAGTTAATCAAGAAAATCATACATCTATCATTTTTGCAAAATTATAATATTTATATTTCTGAATGTCAGTGGGAGAATACACATAACTATTTAGTAGATGATAAAGATAATACAGCCTGAGTACCTGCTTCATACTAACAAGCCCGTCAGATATTAAATATCAATAGTTACTTTACAGTTCCCGTTTTTTATGCCATGCATTTTATATTGAATGCAATAATAGTTTCCAGCTATTCTCCAATTCTCTCAATTGGAATGACCGACGTGTAATGACTTGGTATCAAAAAGCCGTGATTTGCTTCTAGTTTTGTATGATCATTATCATTCAATCATTCAATTCGCATGTTGTGATGTTAAAAAAAATGAAAATCCGTTATTTTATCACTGGAATAATTGTATCAGCCACATAAAAGGAGTCTAAACCCATTTCCTGCTATAACAAGAAAAATTGCAGCAGCAAAATGACATTAAGTCTCAAATATCCTACAATTATATGGACAATTGTGAACTCTCAAGGGGCTTCAAGAAAGCTAGAGGAGTTTGGTGAATATTATTATTGTTATGGGTTATATTTTCTTCCAGTTTGATTGAATGTGATTATGAAAATTCTTCATTTCAAGCAATGTGCAAATGTTGAAGCGCGAGTATAATTATATTTTATATATTAACATAAGCTAGTGTAAATTCACACTATCCATTGCATATATCACCAAAGGCTCTATTAATTGATTGATATAATTCATAGATGGTAGTTATAATAGCATTTTTCTTTAGGTAACATCATCGCTTCAGGAACGCAACAAAATGTTGGCATTATTACTGGCGACAGAACCGCCAAATCACCAACCAATTCCACCAATACCACAGAGCATCATTTCTGCCACTCCCCAGGAGAAATTGCCCAGGATCACCGACCCAAACAAAGCTATATCTATGGCTCTAAACCAGAATGCAATGAATAACAGATCCAATATAAACAGGTAGGCAATCTAAAAAAAAATTGGAAATAATTGTTTACAAGTTGATTATTATCATGTACAGAAAATCATTCAGTTAATTATTTTTAACAGCTGATTCAATGAGAAATTCACTGACTGATCTGTTCTGTTCTCCATACGAATCTTTCAGATTTATTTTCTGTGTGAAAATTTAAAAATTTCTACATGAATAAATGTGCGCGTTCTGTCAATGAGCAATTTCTTTAATTGGCAAGTGTCTGTAATCCATAATGAAATTTGTTCATTCCACCCGATCTAGAGTGGTTTGTACAGTAAAACGTTCAATTGTTCTCGGCACTCTAACTTGATTGAACGTAATTCTCAATTTTCCATTTGCAGAATGCCAGGGCGTCCGCCACAAAATTCAACCTACATCAACTCCGTTCTCTCTCCCAACAACATTCAGCGCAACAACAACCAGCAGATAAACCAGGTGAGTTTTAATACCATTTGCAGATATATCCTGATGAAAATGCAGTCATAAAGGTTGAAGTGTCTGATGAATGTTGAAACTGAAGGAACAATCTTCCATCCCTCATTGATTGTTGTGTAATAAGTAAGAGCATATAGCCTTCCATATTATCTAGCAAAGCCTTATAAAATGAAGAGTGAAGAGGATACTAGTTAAAACTCACTGAGGGGACAGACCTGTTTAGTCAAGAAAAAACAAATGAAAAATAATACAAAAGGATCTCTCCTCTACTTGAGAAAAACATTTATCAAATAGAAGTCTTATAAAATAAATCCCAGCTATTAGTTCCTGTAATGCATATTCTAATAAGACAGTACAGCATTAAATAGTTAATTCGACTTAGTATATGTGAATAGAGTACTTTAATTGCAATTTTCATATTGAGTTTGGGACATCTCAATGCACCAATAATAGGAGATATTTTCTTTGTCAGAACCTCAATATGTTTGTCCCATTTTAATATTTCATCAAAACAAATACCTAAATACTTTGTTTCAAGAATTCATTCTCTATTTGAAGATTGAGCTGAATTTTCTGTTTATTTTTTTGTTGAAAAATCATGTATTCAGTTTTATTGTTGAATCATATAATGTGATTCTAATTCAAGCTGGACAATATCCACATTAATTTCGCGATCGATTTAGGTGAACTCCAGCTGCTACCCGTCGCAGGCCACCTCGAGCACCGACTCGTGGGACCGCAGTCCCGCCCCCTCCAACGATCCCTTCCTCTCCGACCTGCTGGACCAGGTGATCGAGTTCGTGCCCGACGACATCATGCACCTGCTGGACGCCGGCGCCGGGCAGCACCAGCCGGGCGGCTTCCAGTGCAGCGAGGCGGTGGCCATCAACAACATCCAGAAGTCGTTGATGCAGTGCGAGAACGTGGTGAAGGGGCCTGCGTCGCCTGTCGCCGGGAATCCGCCCGTCTATTCATCCTCCAGTGTGAGTATTACTTGATTGTTTTTGATTGGTTGACTGGCTGCCTACTGGTACTGGTGGGGGACGTTTGAACGTCAGCAACTAGTCCCCAATGGGACCTTTTTGCTAGAGTTCCTGAATGTACTTGACACTGCTGTTCTGACGTTTTTTGTATATTAGAGTACGGACACTATGACAAGCACTGACACTCAGACATAACCACAAATAAATTGATGGAAAAAGCGGGAACTGACAGTGCACGGACGTACATGACATGAATTTCAAAGGTTTGACAAATTGAGAGAATTAGGAGAAAGATGCAAGTTTGTGCAGTTTCCAACTGTGAGAACACGGGAAATCAATTCACTCTATTCGAATTTCCATCCGATAACGTAATTCTACAAAAATGAAAACAGAATATGATGTGGCCGGCATGGAATATAGGTTCAGGCCACAAAATTTGCGAGGTATTAAAATTTCTTGGTAGGACATGAAAACATTTTTAACCCATTTTTATCAGGTACAGTTCAGAACGGAAGATTTGATGTTGAAGAATAGGATCGTACTGAGAGAAAGAGACGAACCCACAATTTATAAACTGAGCGAGTATCGAAAAGAACGTTATTCCAATTTAGAACCAACAAGAAACAAAAAACTTGCAGATAGTGAAATTCATTTCGCACATATTTTGAAAGAAAAAGACTTGAGAATCGAATCTTTAGAGCTGGAATATTCAAAAATCCTAGGTTTGCGAGTGGAAGAGAGCGATGGATTCAGGAAACAAATAGAAGAAGAAAATAGAGAGTTGGAAAATAAGTCTGAATGAATTCATCATCGAGTGTGAGTCTTTTCTGGATTATTCCACTCATTCCAAAATACAACGTTTTTGATTGGTTAAAATATCTGTGTTGTACGGGTTGGGGTTGTTTCACAAATAAGGCAAATGCAAAGGTCCGTTCGACAGTTTATTCGCAGCATACACCAATCTAAAATTGCGTAATCATATCAGTCCCGGCACATCACCTAACCTCAAACAAGCTTTAAATATCAGTCTTCAGAAAGCTATAGTAGAAAAATAGCGACTGCTTAATGCGTATCAAAATGACTTCTAACACCCTTATACGAAGTCCAAGCTTTAGCAGCAAGATCTTCGAGTTTGCAGGACAAATCTGCGCAAGAACCTACTGCGACGCTCATTAATATGGAAATCATACTCTTAGCGACACCTTAAGGAGGGTCAAACAAGGTAGGTAACGGTCGGGATGCAGACTGATAGGAATCTAACGCGGTACTTGATTAGCCCGGACAGATATCTGTAAGTCAGTGATCTCCGATCGAGGTGTTTTGGTACAGTGTTGATAATCGAAAACATGATTTTTTCGTTTTTGTGTTTCGGCTGTAAATGGCTGCCTAAATATGCTGTGTTTTCGATTTTGTATTCTGCTTGCTCATTGGTAGTTTGATCAAAATATAAAACAGAATAACTATACAGCAGACTGTCATATGGAGATGGATGTTATAATATAGAATAGAATTGAATAAGTTTATTATGATTGACAAGAATTAATACTTGTATACAATTTGCCAGGATTTTATCTACAATACAATAATAGTTGAAAATAATATAAGTTTTACAAAATATTTGGATAAAACAACATCGAAAAAGTTAAAAACAGAGTTGATGAAACATAGTCAAAGAACTCACTAAGTGAGTAAAACATATTTTCAGTGCGGGGAGCTTTTAGGATATTCCTGAAATTGAGGTGAGTGGTACAATCCCTGACACTTCCTGGAAAATTGTTGAAAATTTTGATACCCATGTTTGTAGGTTGTTATTCCTTGTTGAATAAGAGTGGTAGAATGGTAAGTTGTATGAACAGTGGCTTGCAAGGGTGAGACCTTGGCTTATTGAGGATGGTTCGAATAATTTTTTTCTGGGTTAAAAAGAGACTTTTGGTGACTGGGGAGTTATCCCACAGAATTATGCCATATATTAGACGTGATTGTATTTTGGCAAATTGAAACATTCGGAGAATATCGATATCTATGACTTTGTGCATACATCTGAGTTGATAAATTCTGGAATTTATCACTTTAATAAGGCAGTTTGAATGTTCATGCCAGTCCAGTGATTCATGTAGTGTGATTCCTAAAAATTTCATGGTATCTACTCGTTCCAGATTAATGTTGTTCAAATGCAATGTTAGTGAGTCAACTGTCCTTTGTTTAGTATGGAATATCAGAAAATTTGTTTTACTGAGGTTTAGATATAGCTGGTTTGCCGAGAACCATGTGTACATTTTCGTAAGCAGTGAATTGCATTCTTGTTCATTCTGACAGTTGGATTCGTGTGAGATCAAGAAGGAGTCATCAGCATATGTCCTGGCAGATAATCAATTAGATCAGCAATATAGAGGGAAAAATGCATAGGTGCTAGAACCCCCATTATGAGTTCTGTGGTGTTTGATTGTTTAGAGACTACTGTACCGTCTTTATTAGTAGCTTTGATTTCAACATATTGACTTCTATCAGAGATGTAAGATTTGAACCAGTTTGCGGCTGTATCACGAATTCCATAGGTCCAAAGTTTCCTCAGCAGATGATCATGATGGACGCAATCAAATGCTCTGCTGAGGTCACAAAAGATTCCCACTGGGCAACTTTTATGTTCTAACTCATCTAGTACTTTATTATAAAATTCAACAGTAGCAGTGGTCGTAGATTTTCCTTTTCGAAAACCATGTTGTTCATTAGGAATAAGTTTGTATTTTTCTGTGAAACTGGTAATTCTATCCAACATGCAGTATTCATATAGTTTTGCAAAAGGAGATAAGCCTGAGACGGATCCATAGTTTTCCATTTTTGTCTTGTCATTTTTTTGAAGATAGATAATATTTTCATATTCGTGGATAAGTAGCACTCAACACTAAACTTCAGACAAAACTGTCGTAGGCACTGAATTTTAATTTGTATCGTAGAATGAATGAAAATACTACGAAAATAATGCAGATAATAATGAACACAATATTTTCAATGAAAATAAAGAATTTGATTTAGGCAGCATAATCTGTTTGAAAAAAGAGAAGGAATTTTCGATAATCATCAATAAAATAAGTAGTATTTGTCATTTCACTCACTGTTTCTTGATTAAAACAATAATTTCATGTCATGTCATCATTTTCAGTCGGTGCGTTATGCAACCTAGGATACATCGAATGCTGTCTAGTATTTAAGAAGCACCTAGATACAGGACGCACCAAATATAGTCGCGCGTCCAGCGAGAGGCCGGAAATTTTCTATATACTTGCTTCCGCTCGAATCGCTGGTAATATTTGATGCCTCCTGTCTCTAGACACGGGTGTCAAGTTGTCACGTTGAATTTGATTAAAACGGCATCCCGCTGAGTATATGACTATGAACAGCAGCTCCCTTCCTTGGATTTCAAACAACTTGGAATGGAGTGTTTACTGAAATTCGTATTGAGTAGATGGATGACAAATCGCTATAACAATTATTATTATAGGTGCTAAGAGATCATAAATTGACATTTTTCTGAATCATTTCTTTGAAATTATTGCTCCATGTAAGTTCATGATCCGTTATAACGTTGATCGAGGCATAAGTACGATGGTTATGATACTTGTGATGTTAAATTCTCTAGGGATTTCCCGATTTCTTATCGCGCTGAAGGATATAACGCGGGAGGTATATAATAGCACAAGAATATATTTCTGGAAAACTAGTTGGAATGAAAAATACTCAATTACTTATCATAATAATACATATATTATAACAATAGCGTGAATATACCATACCTGCACTGAAATAAATATCGCATTATTGAGCATCTCTTGACATCAAAGGATACATAATATTTTGCTTTCGATTCTGAAATAATCATGACTAAAACCGAAAATTCCCCTTACAGATGTCAAACAATACATTTTCACTGCCACCACCAAACTACTCTCAGGCGAAATTCCAGCGCATGCAAATGCGCGCCCCCCAACAGTTCGCCAACAACGTGAACAACCACTCGTTGAGAAAACAGCAAGAGCAGAAGCGCCGCTTGCTCAGCCAGCAGAAGCAGCAGCAGCTTCTCATTCCGTCCAATGCCGCCGCCAACGACCTCAACTCGATGCAGAACATCGACAGCCTGCTGAACAACGCGGTCGCCCCGAACGTCACCCTGCAGCGTTCGGCTAGCGTCGGCGAGTCGCAGCTGTCGCCCGGCTACGGGCAGCCTGCGAGGGTGGGTGGCCAGCAGCCGCCCTACTCGCCGCACGCGCAGATGACGTCACCGCTCGGGCAGCAGGCGTACCCGCAAACGACTACGGCCGGCTTCCAGAGCCTGAGCGCGAGGCTGTCGCCGCAGCTGCAGTTCGCCTCGCAGCTGTCGCCGAGACAGGCGTACGGGCAGAGCGGCGCTGCGGGCGCCAATTGGCAGCAGTCGCAAGCCAGGCTGAGCGTGCAGCAGAATCCGATGCTCAGTGCACAGCTTACTGTAAGTACTTCTCAGATCACCATTTCTTATAGTGTGTCCCAGTTTGAGCAGTGTCGCCTTGTTTTATACCTTTATGTCTTCGTTTTGTAGAACATATCACTAAATATGGACTTTTTTCAGCCCAAAGCATGTCCCTATTAATTATCAATATATTGTATATTTGTGGAGATGACTTAGAGCTTTCCTTATTTCTTTAGGAATAATCTACTCTACTTCAAGCTTTGATCAGATATTTTTTAAAATAAAAAACTTTGATTGGACAATGATGAAGTATTTGGACGTTTAGTAGATTGATATGATAGATGTTGTACTCAGTGTGGCTGCATGTGCAACAAAGAGAAATCTATTTTTACCTAACTATCAGCTGGTAGCTGTTTGTTGCTTCTCTCTTGTTTTTTGACTTCATTGTTTGGTTTTCTACAACATTTTTTAGGTGCGATTAATGTTTGATTTGAAATTAAAAACCTTTCAAATTAATTATTGTTAGTCAAATAGTAATGGAAAACGTCTTTTTGCTCTAATATACTTATGTTTTGGTTGACTTCGGTCACTAAAGTCTGAGTACATAAATTCGTACTATTCAAATCTAATGAATATAACTTGCAATATCACATTTACAATGCAGCAGCAGCAATTTGTACCAAACAAGATCTCATAATGATTTTCATCTAAGCAGAGTGCTTACCAATAGGGGTATGAACTCAATGTTTTATAAAGGACTGAAAGAATATAATTCTCTCTCTCAAAGCATAAAAGAATGTGATAATAATAGAAACTTTAAAAAATGTATTAAGGGGTACCTGAGACAAAGAGACTTGCTATGATAAAAGAACAAAAAGTTAATATTCATTTTTCTATATTATTTAATCAAGAAACTGTTAGTGTTATGCTTTGTGTTGTAATGCTATTGAAATTGTTAATATTAGGATGTATCCTATATTGAATAAATTCTATTCTATTATATTGTTGCACTCTGCGCCTCACTTTTATGTTGTCAATTCCTCTCTCTCTCTCTCTTGGCTTGATATTTATTTTGGACATGCCCACAATTTCATGATCATCCTTTAATATGCTATTGCAATATTTATGTTTGGTCTATAATTCCCATTTCATCAGGTACCTATTCATCAAAATATCAGATTGTTTTCCATTTTTGTGATTTTTTTATTTGAACTGATTGTTTTCCTGAATATGGAAATAATGGACTTTGAAATCACTTATCCCCATAATATTCCTCTATTCTCCCAAAACTATTTGTTTCTGGATTTACAGTTATGAAATCTCCCTGGCGACATATAAAGAAACTTATGTTGGCATGAAAACTTTTAGCAGCGTGCCGCGGCTATCCTGTTGGAACAAGAAAATTTTTTCGTTTTTATAATGTGCCTTTGAATGAATATTGACGTTGGACTGATGAAGATTAGTTGTGTTTTTACAATGTGTGTAAACACCTAATTTTTCCTGCCTATTTTTAAATTTCTGATGAGATCTGTTTCGGCGACTTTTTTTATATAATTTGATTGAAATCAGGATTATAATTGAAAAATATTAGTTGACTCAAATCTTCGCAACCCTGATTTCAGGAAATGATCCAACTTCCACCCATACTATGTTTATGTTACCATTGCTAAACTTTGATGATAGAACAAAATTTCTTAATCATTAGATTCATTGGTAAATCTCGTAAAGCTAGTACGACATGAAAATAGTGGTTATCTTCACGATTTTTTTTTGTACTCAAATTTGATAACACAAATATTGAATTTTCATAAACTACACATTGAAATGATCATTTTTTCTGTGGCGGGAAAAAGGTTTGGCATTATCCCCCGTGGGAAAAAAGTGATTACTTTTTTCCCGGATATATATCACATATACATACACTGTTGATGGCTTTTGTTGTGCTATTGTTCCGAAAAATGAGTCAAGAATATCGTCTCCGAGAAAGAACTGCAAGTCCTTTTATCTTCTATTCGACTTCGCGGTTATGTATATTACCAAACAACCACTAAACTCGCAATTTTTTGAAATCGAATCACAGAATTAGACTGACAGAAGTGACATCAGATATTTGATTACTTCAAAAGAATGATAAAGATGCCTACAACGCAGGTGTCCCTACTGTTAAAGACTTAAAATTTCACGTCGATAATTTTCAGATTTTAAACTAAGGTAATATCTTCTCAATATTGATTCGTCCTGTCTTCTGTCACAGAAAAAAATAGTGTATTATACACGGGAAAAATATTAGATTTTAGCTCGCGGTTTTTTGTCTCCCTCCGCTACGCTACGCGTCGGGAGACAACACAACCTGGAGCTGAAATCTAGTACTTTTTTCCTTGTATAATAAATAACTATTGAATTTTGGGAATTTGCTCATTCTCTCAAGGTTTTTTTTCAATTTTTCAGAGACCGCCTCAGCAAGCGCAGCGATCCATAAACAGTCCCGGCTCGGTGCCATCGAGACACTCGCCATTCTCCAACGACCAGTTCCCGCCGCCCACATCTCCGAATTCCGCCTTCAACACTCAGTACCTGAGACTTCAACGAGCGAACAGCGTACCCACTGCCACTACCCAGCTGCCAGGTGCGTACCGTGACTGTTTGGTCCGATTATAGTAGGCGATATCGGTTGATTTATCAGCATTGTTCGGCTATATCCTTGGTTATTTACACTAACAAGATGATCCACCTCCATGTTGAACGTTGAAGCCTAATTTGGTCTTATTTTCTGGCTGGCTCGTAGACGGTGATAGCAAAACATCAAAATATCGACTGCAAGTTGCTGAACTATCTAGGAATATCTTTCTTTGTTTTGATGGGTAGTATAGGTGAAATATCCCTACCTCATATGGACATATTATACAAAGTGGTTCAAAAGTTATGACCAGATGAAGATTTTGACAAAATTAAGATAACGTCCTGTATCTCAGTTATAAAAGACGGAAGACACATCCGAGGCGGTGATTTGGAACCATCTAAGTGTCCTCTATCTATAGGTAGCGTATGTACATTTAAATCTGACACACCCTGTATTCTGCATTACCCTTCATAACCGATCTGTACCCTTCGCAAAAAGTAGTTCACTTTGTCGCTCATAGGTACCGCCACCTACTGAATGGAATTTCTGACTTCATTGCTCTCATAAGGATGGTTCATCTTGTTAATGTCGATAATCAAGAGCCAATTGCTATATTGTGGATTCAACTGTCAGTACAACTTACCCTACTTATTGTCATTCTGATTTTCAATTCCAAGTTACTCACCAGGCAGAGTGACATGAACGCCCGAAGCCAAGCAATTGAGGTGACTCCTCCTGTTTTTGTTGAAGATATTTCCCTGAATTCAGTTTAGGAAAAAAAAACCCTGACAAGAAATGGATCTTCATGAAATTTTCAATTAGGTCAATGCATGGTGACTGTAAATGTCTCAGTATGCGATTTGTCTGCTATTTCCAGACATGTGATTCAAACTCTTCATTTTTGATACTGTAAAAAAACAATTTAGTCATTTTCAGTGGAAACAAGAAAAATTTGAAGTTTCTTGGAATAATAATGCTGAAAGTCAATTCCTAATGAATATATTATGTGAAAAATAAATTGTTAATATAATGGTACCTACTATATGAAAAATAATATTTGAGAGTCGCTGCATTAGAGTTGAAATTGAAACAAAATTATTTCTGTCTTCTCGCAGAATTTGCTGTTTTGTTAATCAAAACCTGCCAATAAATAAAGGAGCGTTTCTAGTTAGAACCCAGAATATCTCTACCATGCTTTTCAAAAACCAATGCAATCTCTCGGACAGCAATTGTTGAGTTTAATCTACCATGAGTAGTTATTTAGGAAAAAAATAATTACCTAGTGCTGAAGGCACTAATGGCACTAATAACTATGAGTTATGAATTTTCAATAATGAATCAATACCTACCTACAATTTTATCAACATGGAATTGAAGTACTTATTTGAACAAAAAGTATATGTATAAGAAGCAGCAGGATATGTTGGTTTCAGCCAAATTACAAAAGTATGTTTAAATATTCAAGAGACGTATTCCTGAAATAATTTTTCAAAAAAAGAGTCTATATAAACTTGTGTCCGGAAATACAGGGTGTTGAAATAGATTTTTTTTGGTCACTTCTTCAAAATAACCTTTGCAAAAAATGAGTTTTTTGCACGAAATTTGGTACCCTTGGTTTATGCGACGTGGGACATCATAATTCCGCATTTATTATCATGTAACATCTAGAGGGTACTGCTTACGCTGTCATTATTCATTTCAAATTGCCCTAACGTTTTTGACAGTAAACTTTCGGTAAACTCATTCCCACATTTTTTTCAAGTAAAAGAGGTACAATCTCCAACAACGCTGGAGGTGATCGTTTTCGAGATATTAACAATTTTCTAAATCATTGCATCTGACTTAGCTCCTGGGGCGCTGAGTAAAGTTGCTGAGGACATTACAAAACAAAGTATGTGAATAGTTCTCATCCAAGATGAACAACTATTTTCTTATGTAATGATTTGTTTTCTGTATTTCATGCATTTCTGGAAACAAGTTTATGTATACTTTTTTCTAAAAACTGTCTCAGGAACACGTCACTTGAATATTTTAACGTACTTATGTTATACCCTGTATATTAAAAAACATAATAGCAATTCATAGAAATATATTCCATAATTGAAAGGTTTAGGATTGATGAAGTTCACCCAATAATGAGCAAAGGCGAGATTGTTTTCGCTCTACCAAGCTTCATCAGCTGCTGACAACCAGAAGATCGATGGCGACAGGTGAGGCTTGGTGGGCCGAAACAGAATTTTCTGACAATTGGGGAAACTATTCCTCCAGGATCTTTTAGTTCTATGAATATCAAAATCTCTCACTCAGGACAGCTTCTGAGACAAATAAAAAATATTATGTTGCAGAATTTGAATCTGATTCTGGCCAATAGATTTTGTGAATTGATCTGAGAATGTTTAGCAAGCCAGCTGAAAATAATGGACACTGTCAATAGATATTTGGGAACAGAAAATAAGTACTGATAGTTGAATTCAGATATAAGTCTTCTTCTTCCTAAGTTTTAACGCATTGAAATTGTTGGTTGTTGCTATCCTTATTCATATGTGATCATCGTATATCGATCGGTATGTGCATACTGGTTGTCCCAGAGAATGTACGGTATTTCAGGAATGATTCCCCAAACCCAACATCCTATTATATGTTCTACTGTATCAAAATAATCGAATAAAAATAAATAGTAGATCATTGACCGGCGACTTCCTGGTTTAATGTTCATTCGTCATTTGGAGACTTCAACAGGAGAGATCAAGTGAAAACTACCAATCCAAAGTAACTTCTGTCATGTCACCGTTTATATGAAAAGGTGTATTATGTCTACATTTCTCCATGGACTTCGATGTTATCCAGGACACACACTGACAATATTTTAATTTCAGCCTCCGCCAAAATAGTTTCAACAGTAAACTTGGAATTAAGTTTGAAAAATATACTGTGCATGCAGAGATTTTGTCTGAAGTGTCATGAAATATCAAGTGCATGAAGACATCCATTGGGAACTTCCAAAAACAAATATTAAATAGTGAAACAATGTTTTGATCGGTACAAACCAGGAATTAGGTTGGGTGTATCATTCTGAAATATCAATACCTACATATTTATTCAAGAAATAATTGTGAACAACTGAATAATATTCATATGCTTTGAAACTTATTTAACCATGAGTAATATTACAACTGTTTTATTATTTTGATTATTTAATATCTAGAATTTAAGAAATTGAAAGAGGTGCATATAGTTTGCTATAAAATGATTGTTGAGAATTCCATCAAAATTGCAATATCATTGATTCAAATACTTCATTGATCAGTTCTGTTCACAGTTCAGTTATAGTCTTCAAAAGGCCTTTTGATTGCCTGCTAATATTCTGGATTTCAGTCAATGTTGGTGGAATTTCAGTTCTTATGGCCCTTGTAGGGATTTCTCATTGATAAAAAATGTCACCTCTTTTCTCTCAGCATGATTTGAATTACTTAGCTACCCACGCATTTGTAGAAAATCTATTTTAGATCATGAAATGAACAATCAATATGCATGGTAGATTTTTCTCTGCAACAGAAAGGTGTGTACAGTGTGTCCCATTTTGAGTAGCATAGCTCTTGTATTTCTTGGGAATTGAAAAATTCTTATATATTGTTCTACTTGTAAAAAGAAGTAGAAGTCTATATTTATAAATATGGCGTTTCATCAGTTATCATGTGTTGAATCTATTCCTCAAGTTGTAGTACTCTAACTTCTTGGGAATCGCTGTATTGTATGTTCTGAGGTATTGTGTACTCACTAATCACCTCATCCTTTTTGAGATGGCGTTACTTCCATCCCACCGATCAATTCACAGTTTCAAGGCTGACAACAAAACAATTCAAGATGTAGAAATCTAGTAAGAATTATAAACTAGCGGTTTTGGGAAATTTTGAACACGTTTTTGTAAACGCTCGACTACCTAGATAGATTCTTGTTCACACTGCAGAGGTGGCTTGAACATTTTTATCTGTTTTTGATGAAAATGTATTTTTCACGGTTCTCATCCTATCGACACCTCGAAGTCCTTGAAGTGGCTTAGAAGATGGTCTCGCTGCAACCAACTTTAAACTCTTGTAGAGTTGCCTTTTCAACTTTTGAGTAGCAATGTACAAAGTTAACATTTTTTATATTTCTATCACAGTTTTACCTTTTCAATCAAACAGTGGGTTTTGGGATACTATTTTAATCTAGTGGCTCTTGCCATATTTCATTGATTCATTATCAAATATAAAGATATTTTTTAACGTAATATTTCTTATTCTATTTAGTTCTGAAAATACGATGGTTTTGGCGCTCAAAATGCTACACATTGTATACAAACTAACCAACTTTACAAACTAGCTGTTGTTTGGAGATCAGTCATATTTTAGAAACTATATCAGCATTTTGGTGAAATGATTCTATAGAGCAATTCAGCCAGCTTTGAGAGAGAGAGGAAATATGTCTTACCCATTTGTCGTAACCTAAAATTATGAAAATTTTATATTGGCAACATTGAAAACGAGAAAAAATCGAGAGGATGATCATATTAACCTCAATATAACAAAAGGTTAGATTGGTGCATATACGTATTAATAAACAATACAGATCATAACGGGTGCCAGGATGAAGCCAAAAATATGAAACAAATGAATATCCATAAGGATTTGGTGGCATGATACGCATGCGCCATGCGCTATTATAGTAGTCATCAAAGACATGCGTTTCGGTGGACAATGACGTTTACTAGCCTTTCAATCAAAGCAGTATGTGTCTTATCGTTTCAAAACTTTTCCTTATGGATAGTCATTTGTCTTCAAAAATCGGCTTCATGTTTCGCTATGGAAACAGATAGAGATTATCCGTATTGATTATTAATACGTATATGGATTGGTGTTCTTCTCTATTTTTCTCATTTTCAGTGTCGCCAACATGAAATTTTCACTATTTCACGTTGGATCATTGAAGACAACGACAGATGGGGAAGACATATATTTTCTCTCTCAGTGCTGGCTGGACTGCTCTATTGTAGTCCATTAGCTTCTCAAATGAATAAACAAGAATTTGTAGAAGAGCTGTAGAGAATGTTTTGCCTTGTTTTAGATTTCGGAATTTCTGAATCTGAAGACACCATTTTTGTTTGAACAAGATTCATTCCATAGGGTAACATCAGTTGATACTTACTAAAATTTTTATGGCATTCTTTGATTGAAATAATTTGATCCATACAATGATTCCCGTTTCAATTGAAAACCTTTGTTTTGTGTGTGGTAACTGTTGGAGATACTCAGTTATGTATTTGAATTGTTATTTTTCCGGAATATTTTTCTTTGATATTCAAATAGGACATAACTTCCAGTAAATTTAACAAAATTCAACAATTTTGTTTTTCGTGATTTTCGAATTAATAGATTTTTTACAATGCAAATAACATGAAAAACCGTAAATTCAGTACCCACCAGAAAAACTATTTTTCACCTGAACATAGGTAATAGATCAGACAAAACTCTTTTCTATTTTTTTTTTTTTCGAAATTGACAACCTGTATTTTATTGATTTCTATATTAACTTGGTGAACTATACAAGATATAATTTTAAACGAAGATGACCTTGTGAGATGACTTGAATCAAATATCTTGATCGAGTTCTCTAATGTTCCAACTACCATTCATTTTCCACTCCGATTTTCATGATACAGGGAGAAATCGGACTACCAAACAAAACAAAATAATTAGAGTTTTGGACAGTTGATATTGACCTTTACGAGAAGACGCAGGAACTCCATCTATAATTTCGTGAATTGAATCAGAACATTAATTCTACATATTATACACGTAAACAACGACGCTGTCAGTAGAAGTAACTTGCTTTACATATATACTGACCGTTGATGACAGATTCTGTATGCACCTTTCAAGTAATGATTTCTATAAGTTTGCAACATGTCCTAGATAATTATCTAATTGGGCTTGCATGCAGCGGCGTCACCAATCAAATTTGAATTTGCATTGGAAATTGATGATTCTGAACGATTAGTAAATTGATTTCTGTTGAAAGAAGCAAATTATACCGCGGGAAGACTGCATACACCGCCCTCGTGTAGGAAGTTCCGAAACTATTGTGTGACAGGGAGGGGTATTGTTGAACAATTATTCAAAGTATGCTCTTTTGCAGACTTATTTTTAGTGTTACTTGTATCGCGATGTACTGCATACAGTCGTAGTGTGCACATGCGCTAAAGTAATTTTTTAATCGGGCACTTTTTTTTGTTTTCGCAATAAAAGTGCATGTGTAAAAAATTACCACAGCGCATGTGCACTCCACGATTTTTTGTTAAAGTACCTAGTACATCATTGTGATACAAGTAACACCGTAAAAACATACGTTAAATAATAATTGTTCAACAATACGCCCTCTCTGTCACATGATAATAATTTTGTGACATTCTACACGAGGGCGGCGAATGCAAGTTCATTTCGTGGTCTAATTTGTTTCAAATTTCAACAAGAACCAATTTGTATGCATTCACATTCGAAATCATCAATTTTCAAGGCAAATTCAAATTTGATTGGTGACGCCGCTGCATGCGAGCAAAATTAGATAATTATCTAGGACATTTCGAAAACTCATATAAATCATAGCTTGAAAGGTGCGTACATTAAAAAACTGTTGCACAAAATCTGTTGTTGTTATTACCGGTCAGTCTAATAACATAACATAAGACAATCGCACAGGCATAGCATTGATAGCATTGATTTGAGAGGGCGGCGTGTGTTACAGGTGGGCTGGGCTCTCCCCGGCCGTACACAGGCAGGGACCACCATCCCCACCCCTATCCCCCTATCCCACCCCACCATAACGTACCCCCAATGATGTACCAAGACTCCCAGTACTGTTATGATCAGACGGGTATGTCGTTAGCCTACAATGGCGCAGACAGGGGCCGCGCTCCCCCCCACCTTCAAAGCGGTAAGTGGTCGTCAGTTGGCAAGCTAGGGGCACTTCGTATACTGAAACACCCAGATAAAAATCTTCAGAATTATTGACAGCCTGAAAGGAAATGATTCGATGGTACCTTCTGGATTATTCATTTTCGACATCAAAGATTTAACTTTAAAATATAGGATAACGTCAATAACATCGAAACAATATTTTCTTGACAAACACCGTGACAGTTACTTTTATTAATTGAACTAACATTGTCCTTAGGAAACGTAAACGTAAGAGACCTGCATCATCTATAGTGTCTGGGATAATTGAACTATGCTACATTTGAAATAAGAAGATAGTAGGTTGCGCTGCCTCAGAAGGAATGTTAACACTGACAAAAAAAATATGGCGCCTAATGCAATACCATGGCCATTCCAATGATCGAATTCCACTTTGATTTAAAAGTCATAAAATGTATGGTTAAATAAAAAATACGACAAATGAATAAAAAGTGATGATGTGATCATCTTCCCATGAAGAAAATTCAACCTTCAATGTTGTACCATTCAAAGCGGATGTCAATGCTTCCTTATTGTTTCTAGTGCTGTCATTTCATACTTCGAATGGACTATAGATGGTTCTCTGTTTTGAATCACTGTTCACAGGCACTGGAAATTCAGCAACTGACCTATAAACAACAAATTGAGTTGATGTTTTCTCAAGTTTTGGACCTGAGGGAAAATTTTCGACCTTTCTCCGGTTTTTTCTCATCAACTTTTTTCCTTCCGTCTCACGTCAAAAATATTCTCATACTTTGTTGTAGATTCCTAAGATTTCGATTCTCGAACATTTGTGTAGGTACATTTTTGTACAATAACGAAGAATACGTCAGGAATACACAATTATTTTGATTAAATTATAATAAACATAGGAGATATAGGTATATAGAGAACGACATGTTGTGTTCAATGACACAAAATTATGGCAGGAATTCGTCAGTAGTGTAGATATTTTTATTAAATATGTATATTGAAATGTATAAAGGCATTGAATTATCATCAAAAATACGGTTTTACGACACATTATCCGCGGACATAATATCTGCGGCATCAAATCCGCGACATTATATCCGCATGCCAATATATCCGCGACACTACATCCACGACGAAGAAATTTGTAATTTATTAAAATAAAAAAGATATATTAAAATTTGTTATCGGAGGCGACAGAAGGAAATCTAGCCTTCAGAGCCATCTAGTGGCTCAAGTGCAAACGTGTATAAGTAGATTCAACAATCATACCTTGCCCCTAAGTCGTGCACAGTCCCCTACGTCCCTGTTTACAGAAAGACATCTTGTCGCAATTCTGTGAAATATCGCAACACCTGGTAAATCTCAAAGGAATTCAATGTTCCACTAAAAGATGAAAGATGGTAAAATCAAAATACAAAAAGAAAACATATTAATCAATGCAGTAAACTTCTATTACTGATAAAGAGACATGATAATATTTATTGCGAAACTAATGCAATGATAATGAAGATTCTCAAGATTAGGAAATTCTAGAAACATTTTGTTAAGCAATTGTCAGGTTAGACAGACGGTTTCGAATTTCCGAGCCTCCTCAGTTGCACTAGCGCTGCTGACAAGCAATTCACGAAGGTTACTTCTATATGTATATATTATGCACCAAATCGCTTCAACAGACAGGATGACGATCTTTAGCCTTCTAAACAATCTGACCTAACTAGGCCTGAATGATGCACCGTCTTCCTAGAAAATATATTCTTTGCAAAATTACTTGAGCGAACCAAATAGACTACTTTTAATCAACAATCTAACCTTATTCGGCCTAAAAGAACCTTCTTCTTAGAGAATATATTTTGCGGAAAATTACTTGAGCGAACGAAAGAGACAACTTTTTTGAGACAATCTAACCTAACTCGGCCTTAATGAATTATCTTCCCAGAAAGTATATTTCTCGAAAGATTGAACACGAGCCCGTGTGACAATCAGATCCACAGCTCACTGTACCATTCGCTTACTAGAAAAATTATTACTGGGAAGAACGATCAGATGACATTACGATGACATTCAGCAACGGGGAAAACATGTCGGACTTTTAATTCAAGCCAGGTGTTAGAAATGTTTTCCTCATTGCTAAACGTCATCGCAACGTTGGATGATGACTTTGAAATTCGCCAAATGTCAAAGACGTCATGTACGCGCGAGAATTCAGAGAGCCACCGATGGAATTGGTGCAGCTAGACGCTTGTTTCGGGTGCTGGTTTTCTTCGGGTATTCTCGTTCCTGAAGACTGCAATGTCCTCAAAGGTGAGAAGATTTAATAAAAAACAAAATGATGCATAGCCATTGACATATGCGTATATAATAACGCGGATACAATGTCGCGGATATAATGGCATTGGATCGAATGACATTTTACCAAAAATACTGCACTAAGCAAATTCAATGAGAATGATCGATTTCGTATCGGGCCGTTGGGAATGAATAATTCAGAAGGCAACTGAACAATTTTATTATGTTTTAGTTCTGGGGGTTTAACCATATCGTGGTCATCCTCACCATAGCACTCATTGGCACAAGCCCTGTGTCTAACAACATCCATAATTATTACATTTACATGTGCTCGCCTTATAGCTGTGCTAAAATCACTGGGGAAACCAAAACATCCCATATTCCTTCGTCTTTCCCCATGAGTTCATCCCTTTCTTTCCAAATGTATTGCAATGGGTTTTGAATCATCAGAAATGTGCTGAATTATATGTTGCTTTTTTACGTATGTGTGCTTATTTTTTATTTGCAGTTATAGTTTAGCATTTTTTGTTTGCGCTTTGTGTGTTGTTTCATCCATCAAGTTATTTTATTTATGCCATGCTGGAATATAAATTATATTTTATGATGAATGTTTCATTCTACTGTGCATGTTTTCCATTGATAATGATCTGTTTTAGTCTGTAATCTAAATGGTATATCTTCAACAAGAGATGATCGTGTTGAATGATTACTATTAATTGGTATGTTTCATAGTTTCGTGAAATAGTTGATAAATAGGGGTACATCTATCATCTCACCATTGATGAAATAATGATTTGGTGATCGAGATGAAGGTTTTTAGAAGACTTGTCTAGTCAAAAACTCATTAAAGTGAACCAAAGATATTCCTACCAATTTTTTTAACAACTGAAAAATTGGTACATTGTTGCCAAAAATCTTGTATTCGTGTTTTTATGATTTCACAGACACTATAGTAAGAAGACAAATCAACATATGATTCGATGAAAAGTCGAATCTTTTTTGTATGAAAGCAGATAATTCATTTCTGGGTATTGACAAACTTTAAAAATTGTTTACTCACATTGCATGATTAATTTCTAGGGGCTAGTTGTATTGAAAAGTGTATGAACCTTATTAAATGAAGGATAAATCGGAGATCCAATTCTTAATTAATTAAATCACTGTTTTATTACTTTCGAAAATTTATTTTGTATTTCAATGTTAGGGAATAAATGTCTGTATATGAGATATATTATGAGAGGCTACATTTTCTTATTATTTATATTGAATCACAAACTCCATATCATTTGACGTTCAAGTTTTGAAAACATATTTTTCAAGGGCGCGGCAAAAGTTCGAAAAGTATCTACAGTGTCTTCACATTTGATTCAATACCTTTCATCAGTCAGGATGTACTGTTCTTTCGTCAGCAACAAGCATCAGAATATTCTAATTCAGAAATGAAGGATTTCTGCTTAACAAGATGATTATATAAACTGCCCAACACATGAAACGTAAAATCGCATTTTTTCGATCAAATTTGAATCATCATAACTTTCGATTCCCTCAACCGATTTTCAATTATTTTCCAGTTTCTGAAAGCTCGTTTCATTGACTATCGAACCTATGGATATGGCTATTTCATATTTTCCGGATGAGATTCTACAGGATGATAATCAGAGCTCCTCCCGTTTGAAAGAAAATTTTCTCTATTTTTCTTTTGGTCAAAAACATATTGGTTCATATGTTTTTCTCAATACTGTAAAAAAAATTTGGAATTGTCACACGCGTTACTGAAATATGAATGTTTTAATAAGATAAAGCATAATTTGATGCTCTAATTTCTATTGGCTTTGTGTTCCTGCCAATCTGGTTCGAACGGTAGTCAAAAATCTTGAAATGATGCATGATCAACCTATTCCTATATGCAGGGTGGTCCTCAAACAACAATTATGACAGAAAGTAATGAAGAAAAATCTTGTCTTGAGGAGCAAGAAAATTTTTAAGCAGGAAACCGATTGAGAAGTTTTCTAGCGATCAAAGCGTGTAGTAGAAGTTGTCATCACCATGTCAAGTTGCTACAGAATCTATTGCTGATCTTGCAATCTCGTGAATTTTCATACTTTTCATGTTCACTTCAATGTTAAATTCAATTAAAGGTGAGAGTGATGTGATTTGAACTGGTGTTATTGATGAAAAATCTTGGAACTAGAACATCGTGACTGTGATGGAATTCAATATGAGAAATTCATATTTTTTCTGAGTCACGACATTTCAAATCCATGTGACTCACGTCTGCCATTCTTGTGAAGACGTTCACCGCAAATGAAATCACATCCTGTTACTCGTTAATCTGCTGCAATAGTGATGAATTATGTCAGTTGCATGGCATGTCTCGGCAGCAACTTTTTTTATTCAGACGACATCCTGTATATTTCTTCAGTCTATCTCATTTGCCTTGGAATTGTCTTCTAACAATCTATCACAAGGTGAGAACGACGTCCTGAAAATTCGGTTTTTCTAACAATTCCAGTGGTTTGATCTTGCAATAGATTCTGTAGCAACATGACATGGTGATGACAACCTCTCCTACACGCTTTGATCGCCAGAAAACTTCTCAATCGGTTTCCTGCTTCGAAATTTTCTTGCTCGTCAAAACAAGATTTTTTTTTATTACTTGATGTCATAATTGTTGTTTGAGGACCACCCTGTATATAAGAATTCGTTGATCATGCATCATTTCAAGATATTTGACCACCGTTCGAACCAGATTGACAGGAAAACAAAGCCAATAGAAATTAGAGCATCAAATTATGCATTATCTTAATATAACATTCATATTTCAGTAACGCGTGTGACAATTCCAAAAATGTTCTCACAGTATCGAGAAAACATATGAAGCAATATGTTTTTGACCCCAAAAAACAATAGAAAAATGTTTCTTTCGAACGGGAGGCGTTTGAAATTTTTGAGAAAATGCACAGCTTTGATTATCATCCTGTAGAATCTCATCCAGAAGAGATGAAATAGTCATATCCATGGGTTCGATAGTCAATGAAACGAGCTTTCAGAAACTGAAAAATAATTGAGAATCGGTTGAGGAAATGGAAAGTTATGACAATTCAAATTTGATCGAAAAAATGCGATTTTACGTTTCATGTGTTGAGCAATTTATTTTAGATATCAATTTACTGAATACTGAGACTGTGTGATGTCCCATCACAGCTACCAAATGCATGCACTTGAAATTGAAACATTGTCTGAAAAGAATAGTTGTTCCATCATCAATTTTCGATCATCAAGGAAACAATTTTACGAAGAAAAATTCCATGACAGGTGTGTCTGCGAGTGGCCCCACATCGGAATTCGTTCGACAGGAGTTGCGCGCAGTGGTGGGTGCCCGAACTGCCCAGGCCCAGCCCACGACCAGCCGTACACCCGCCCAAATGTTGGTTCAGCAGCAAGTCAGTGATCTCGAGAGTCTCGGAATAAATTTCGAAATACCGAGCGGTAAGTTCTAGTAGTGAAGTTCTCGGAACATTTAGGTCTTGTTCTGTTTGGTTCTTGTCAAACATTTTTGGTGAACTCTGTGTCATTCTATGTGAAGACGATTTGTCACTTTTGGGATCATATTATTTTTCGATGAGCACTAATAACAGCATTGTTTATAGTACTAACTCTACTAACAAGTGTACGATGTGAAATATGGTATATCTACCCAGCAAACAAGCAATGTCACCCTAGCAATCTATCACAATATTGGATTTTTCAAATGGTAAATTACAAAAGTGCAATGCCTTCCATTTATTGATATTCATTGTTGGTCCAGTGATGACTAACTGATGTATTTTCAGTGCATTCTCAATGGTAATTAAGTGGTCTATTGTCACAGAGAATTTGAGGTTATGTAGAGAACATATTATTATACTCATAATAATAATAATAACTATAATCCAAGCACAGCAAAATATCTCATACCCAGTTATCCATGTCTCACTTGGTTTGGAATTTGTGGAAAATAGTAAATTTTTTGAAACTTCCTTTCTTTGGGTATCTGAGGTGTATTATTTGTAAATTTCAAGTTACTCATGAATCACGAAGGTATATTACCTTGGCTGCTGCAACAATAGTTGGGTGGAAGCAAAGACCAAGTCTTAGGTAGAGGTAGATTGCTTAGGATTCAAACTCGATGGTTGAGTTCACCATATTATCATTGACCTCCCAATTCTGGATGTTTCTGAAATAAAACTCAGTTCTCAGTTTATACTATCAATTTGTTATTTTAAATTGATGAGATTGAATGAGTTCTTATAGGTGTTTTTGAAATAAATACATATATTCAGCACATCGATTTAATACAGTGTAGAACTTTTGGTGGAAAAAAAGGGTTCACCCCAAATATTACTTTGATCCCTATTTTTCTTTATTGGTGCCATTCTATAGTATACGTCGAGCTTTTTCATGGTTTGAAATAGTTGCACTTATTTCAATGCCACATTGTATAGCTCTTTATCTTCTTATTTACTTGTCATCGATTTCTCAATGCAGTAAAAATAATTTTACTTTGACTCGCATAAATCTATTCAAAATATAATGTTGTACCTGTATAATAAATGTGCAACATATGTTTTATATGATAGAAACAGCAATAAATACATACTTTTTTATCAACGACAACTTCAGTATGCCATAATTTGAAGGCCCATGAAATCGCCATATATCTCGTGTTGACGACTGGGTAGTGGGTAAAAGATCTCAATTGCCTAATTAATTATCATTATGTTAATGTAATTTCACTGGAAATTAACATCTTAAAAATGTTGTTGGGCTAATGTACTTTATTAGTAAGTTACAGACCAGTGTGCAAGGTATCAAGTTCATCTGATTCAAATTCGTGGAACAGGAATATTCAACTGGTATCCTATTAATATTCGACTACAAAGTAAAAAGTAATCTCAAACTGTTGTGACTTGGAAACTTACAGTAAAGTATACAATATCCATATTATATCAAATTTTATATACATCTGAATCTTTTGAACCTTTATTCTCATGCTTACTATGCTTATTTGTTGAGGCGGAAAGAACCTTTAAAGCCTATTGGGAATGTTAGGATATCAATATTCCATATGATATGTTGTTAATAATACTACTGTATACAGGGTGTTTCAAAATTCAGTATCAAGATTCAGGGGCTTATTTTTCAGATCAGAATAATACTGTTTTTCCCTCTAAACATGGCAAACGCTTTGTTACCAATCTACAGAGCGTTAATTTTTACGCATCTGCGACCGTTATGGAGGAAAAAAATATTTTTTTATAATTCGCAATGGAAACTAAACCTGCTACATATTTAGTTTGTGATCTTGATTACAAGTTTCCAAACATTACCTGAATAGAAAAAGAAACCTGAAAAAAATTAAATTTTTATGCTATGTATATCGGTAACGAATAGGTCTCTGAAATTTTGATACCTACTGAATTTTGAAACACCTTGTATATTATAACTAGGCGCACACAAAGTAATAAGAAAAAATTGTTGATGGATTCGTGCTTTTATCATTTTAGGTCATCAACAACTTGTTGATGATTTTGAATTCGAATATATTATATTCTAACAAATCATGTTTCCTTGTAATAATACTGTGTGCTATGAGCTTGAACTTTTTTTAATTGTAAATACTCTGCACAAATTGCACAAACGCACTTTTTTTATCTTACCAAAAATGTTTGATACAGACCTTCCTTCCAAATTGGCGAATGTGTAATGAGGGTCATGAATTTTTGTCCAGGGTTTCCTTGTACGTTTTTAGTGTCTTCAGTTGTTTTCTCTCAATTCAATTCATGAATATTCAGAGTATGAAAATGATCACAAGTGTACAGGTTGTTTCCTAAGTACAGGATTTCTATAAATGATCCTAACATCGTAGTGACCGTTGAAAGATATGCCGTTATTTGCTGATGTTATTTCCAACATCGAAACGAGCGAATATGTTATTAGATGACGTTATGATGACATTAAAAACTACGGGAAAACAAGTCTAACTCTCAATATATACCAGGGGCTAGGATGTTTTCCCCAGTTTTTCCGTAATTTTTAAAGTCCTCCCAACGTCATCGTCAAGACCTTGGCGACCGCGAATAGTAATAGTAATAGTGATAATAGGCGACAAAACGAAAAATATACTCGACCACTACAGTGCTATAATAATTCATAGAAACCTTAAGTTGATCTGGTCCGTAATTTCTAACGAAATTTAAAGAAGGAAAGGAGGGATTTGTTTACGAGATGTAGGATGTTAAATTACGTCCCACATATTATGAAACACCCTGTATATGTTCTTCAACCTAGCTTTACTATCTATTTGCATATGAAAATTCAGCAGTATAACGTGACATATCTCAAAAATAAAAACAAAATATGAACCAATATTCCGATATTCATCGGAGATCTGAAATATTCATGAATTTTCAAATGATTGAAAAAATTTACGAGAAAACAACTCTAGAATTGCTAGTAGGTATGGGGTAGTTGGGGAAAACTTTCGAAGGTTAAATGGTAGATTTTTGAAATCAAATGAATACACAAAAATTCTCTGGATTAATGTTTGGTAGTAGAATGGAAATTATAAGAAATACAATGAAGGATCTTTACGTCAATAGTGATTAGGAAAAATTAGTAATGGATAAAAAACATAAAGAGCATTCCAGATCTTCCTATTTCTTCAACGGATATCAACGAAACCTACGTTTCGTATGTCAATCGCCAATCTTGGTCGCATACGGAATTCCAATTCCATGAGTATACGAGAGGAAATACGATATATCCGGAATACCCTATATAGAATTCTGCATACTACAAACTAGGTCTGCGTGTGTCTCATCTATTTCACTACTCACTTTTCTTATACTGGTCAGATAATATGTTATAGAACAGAGGCAAACAATAGCAGATGAACAAATTCAATAAGTTCCCACAAATATGCATCTGTACAGAGTTTTTCAAATGATTTCTCATTTAAATTGGGTTTGATGTTGAATGTTATGTAATGTTTGTGACTTGTTACTTCTTATGTTACCCGGTTACCCCAGTCTCTGCTGTAGTCCCTTATAATGTGTGTTTTTGTGTTTTACTAAACATTTATGGGGCAGATATTACTTTCGTTGCTAAGCACATGACAAATTATTATTGATCTTTCTAAGAAAATATTTTTTTAAATTCTGGCATAATGATATACGTTCCTCCTTATAGAAGACCATTGGAATAATACAAAGTAGTTGATAATGGTTTACCAATGGAAAAAGAAAAACTAAAACCGTGAGGTTGTTTTTTGCTATGATCAGACTCAAGATACCATAATCAAGCTTGAAACACGGGAAGCGTGTATTCTGGTGAGAGTTACTGCAAGTAGCAACGTCTAAAGTAGGCATCAATATGGCTAGTTGTGAGATTGAACGAATTCAACATCATAAAACACGATACAATTCAAAGGTCTGTGCGTAAACAATGCACTCATGGTGGTTTACACCATGTATCTTCAGTTGACTAACGTTACCAACTTTGATTTGATTATTTTTTTGAGGTTAGATTGTGGAAGTCCACTTGAATTCGTGAATTAAGAATGACACCTTTTAGTAGGATACGAAATTAGCTGAAATTGAATAAAATATTATTATGAGAACTCATGAAATAACTGCCACTTGCACTCAAGTCAAGTCAAAGCTATACAAAAGTAGACCAAAATGTTTACACCGTCTTCGTCATCATACTGTTTTAGTCTGGTACACAACAAATTTCGGTTCCAAACCTAGCTGGTAACTTTACCAAGTATACAGTTTATACCAAACTGAGTATTTAGTCCAAATATAGTCATTAGTCAGCTTACCAAGACACGGTATAAACGTGGCCATATTTTCGCCAATCAGCATCAACGCGTCTATTTTCCTCGCATGTGACGTCATGCAAACGGATGGGTGTATCTGAGCCAACATGTCAGCAAATCCTCGTAAGTGTACCACGGCTAAATGATGAAAATGAGCCAGTTTGTTCGCCAATTAGTTTTCATATTCAATTAAGAACTATGCCATGCAAAGAAATTTTCTTGACCAAAAGGTCGTGGGTTCTAGATTGCCTCGAACATCTCATTTCACGCACTTTAGAGTGTGGTCATGCTTGTCACCATTGACAAGTGAGAGTTGTCATCATTTTCAGATTTGAAACGACAGTTCTGAAAATTGAATTGGCGTCCCCACAAAAATGTTTTCGAATAAATCTTATTCCGTAACGAATTGCAAAAATGATGGGTAACTTCCTTTTGAGTCGCCCAAAGATGAGACAAAATATCAAGTGTTTGTTGAAGCTTGGAATTTCAATATTTATTTCATGAAAAAATGCATGAATAGACATAATATTGAAATTACTACACAATGAGCATTATGTGCCTTTGGTGTTACGCCAATGTTAGGGTTTCAAATAAAAATATGTCTGCACTCATTCAAGGGGTGCAAAAAAATGACATTCCATCTCTTATAAAACATATTTCTGTCTCATGTTTTTTGTTCAGCTGTTTAACAAAATGATGTGTGTCTACACTATACCCAGCAAGTGCAAAGCAATAATTTTTCGTTAACGAACTGTTTTTTTTTAAATTCCGGAGCAATTGCTAGGGATGGTTCTGAACGATTCACTATAGCATTTTATTCAACACTGCTGCTCATATAAAGTAGCATATGAAGTTAGTAAAACAAGAAAATATCATTCAGAACACAATGAGCTGTGAAACCTCATTGCTACTTCTCTATTATTTACAAAAAGAGGTTACTTATGAGTGCTTAGCAGCGAGGGTAATACTGCAGGGAGTGCAATGGTGTACAATGATGTCATTGTTGCGTGCAGGTGCGAGTGATAGCCCGAAACTTTGGGGTGCGATCGGTTCAGATATGGGCTCAATGTCTCCGCAGCCAGCGACCTCGAGGGTAAGCTATTGAAAAGAACACACCTGTCTACTGATGCCTACCTCGCTTACTGTTACTAACCTGCTGCATGGAGCCCACTCTAAGCACCTTTCGATAGTGATAGTTGATTTGTGAAATCGGAATATTGAAAATTCAGTTCTCGTTCATAATGAGTGCAGTTGAATGTGCCTAATATACAGGGTGTTGCGAAATTCGACCGACAACGCTTGACAGGTGATAGCCCTCGTGATTTCATAATCACTGATATAGGGACATACGGTCTTCAAGTGTTCAGTTCTCGAGATACAGGTCGTTGAAGTTAAGAAAGAAAAATAGTTGTTTCGCAATATCTCAAGAAAAATTGAATATAAAGCAGTCAACTTCGGTATATGGTTTCTTTTTTGACCAGGAAGCCATTCCGGACATTTCATCCAGTGGTGCCCTACAGGGGGGTGTGGCAATTTTTCCTCATATTTTCTACGACACTGATTGAATTTCAATTATTTCCAACTCCTCGAATTCATTGTTCAGTTTTTTTCAAAAAATGCATCATCTTCAACTGAGCTGAAATAAACAGTTTTCGAGATATTCGACCCAAAATAGAAGATTGCATAGTAATATTTCATCATTTTCAGTAGTAGAAAATTGGTGTTGAGTAGATTAGATACTATTCAGATCTCATTCTGTAGCTGAACAGAAATAGTTATTCCACGCATAAAGAGAAAACAAAAATTTTTGTAATCTTCTACTACTGAAGAAAATGAAAAATTACTATAAAAACTTCTATTTTGGGTCAAATATCTCGATAACTGTTCATTTTTGCTCAGTTGAAGATGATGCAGTTTTTCAACATAATTGAACAAGCAATTCGAGAAAATGGAAATGGTAATCGAAATTTAGCGCACCTCTGGGTAAAATTCTCGGAATGTCTTTCTTGTCAATAAATTAACCATTGTAAGATGAAACCATATACCGAATTTGAATGCATTATATTCAATTTTTCTAGGGATATTGCGAAAAACCTATTTAAATTTCTTAACATCAACGCCCTGTATCTCGAGAACTGAGCACTTGAAGACCGAATGTCCCTATCTCAGTGATTATGAAATCACGAGGGCTATCACCTGTCAAGCGTTGTCGGTCGAATTTCGCAACACCCTGTATATCATATTGGGATACAAATTTGATTACAGGATATTACAGGATAAGTTTTCATTGTATAGCAACAAAATCAATCTATGTCTATCTTTGTTTATTAGAGTTTGAATACCTATATCATTTTTACTTAACGTGTTCTAATTCTTTCTTTAGTATGTATATTTTAATATAAACAGACGTTCCTATAATTAATTAACGGTTAATATTAACTGTGATAGTAGTGTAACAAGTGAGTTAGATTCTTTGGACGATGATTGTTTTGACTTGAAAATATATGAGAAAGAAATAATCACTGAGCTGAAGCATTAAGAATGATTTTCTACATGAAGTTTTCGCCTTGGGAAGTCTTCGTTTTCGAAATAATGATTGTAGTCAGAATTGGCCATTCTTTAAATATCCTTGTGAGGAAAGTTTCAAATATCTCAATTCTGTTGCTTATTCATCACATAATATGACAATCTGCAAAAACCATATATTGGACAAATTATTTCATATAAGCACTTGCTAAACTTATTGAACACCGATCCTTGATTTATTCGTCTCTGAATACGTTAGTCGATTGATAAGAAGTACCAAGAATAATGGTCCGAGACATAGCAATCCAGCTGTTGGAAAGGTTATAGAATCTTTATATACCCATCATGTTCTTAGATAGAGGAGAAGATACGTTCTGATGATGATTCAATATTCCCCTCTATATGGTAAGAGTATACATATACACAATTTCTCATACATCACATTGTGGTCATATCTTGATTTTGTGATTTCACATCCTGAATCTTTCACGATTCATTGATTTTGTGAAATTTTTCTGGCTTTATATCTTTATTCAAGCACTATGTTTATTAACATTCCCTTCGTTTTTATAGTAAATCTCTTTTTATCACCTTCAGGTAAAAATTTGTCCAACTGAATTGAATGACAACCATATATTTTTTAAGAACGACCGACAAAGCTACTTTCCCTCTTTAACTACTACTATACATGGTGATTCATTAAGATTAAGCAATCTCTGAACTAAAGATAGTAAACACCAAAATATGACTAATAGGAATGCTACTGTTTTAGGAGATTCAGGGTTTCAAGGAGAATCTTTTATTTTGAAATTTCCCAATAACTTTGTATGTTTTGACAGCATGAACATGACATTTTGGAGTTTCAGGTTTTCTGGCATTATATCTTTTTTGTCCATCAAATGATGATCAAAATGAGTCAAAAATTTGAAAGCCCCATCCAATGTTTCATAAAAAAAGTACTCTTTTTCAAATTGTCTAGCTCAGAGCTCTAATGGTTTTTGTATCATTTGCTCTTGAAGAGGTTTGTGTTTCACTTTCAACATCTTTTTCATTTCAAATTATGAAGAAAGCGAAGGGACAGTGAGAAAAATGGCATTAAACAATAATGACAATCATTAACAACACCAAAGACAGGCATAATTTCAAAGTGAATGTTTGACCAAAGATATGGAGAAATTTAAAACAACATTTGCATATGTTGGGCTAAATTTGTTTTGGTGTTTACTATCTGTAGTTCAGAGATTGCCCATTCTTAATGAATCACCCTGTATATACTAGACAATTAAGCCACATAAGATTCCGACCAAAGTTAGAAAAGGAGCATCTTAATATAAATATACAAGTGTTATAAGACAAATTTCACTTTTTCATAGACGAATTATTTAAATATTCACCTATAATTATTAATGGTTTCTAGCCCTTGGACTCCAATATAATCAACAGGATATTCCAATAATTCATCAACCTCACAATCACGTTGCCCTTCCTTCCTTCTACTGATTGAGCTCAGACAAACAATGTCAGCCCTAGCCCCAAACTTACCAGCAAATTCAATTATAAATGCTCAAGTCAATAGTGATGTATTCAACTTGATTTATAATAGACGGTACCTGTTGATAGTTCATAATTTACTGGGTGGTATTGAGTAATCTATTCATTCTGTAACAAAGTTATCAATAAATTAATAAAATAATAAAGAAAATGAACGATGAAATAAAATAAATGATGAAAGATTAAAATATGTTATTAAATAATGTGTCATCAATTGTGGAATAATAAAAAATGATCAGTAAAATATTTCAACTTTACCAACCTGTAAGTTGTTTACTATCAACATTTTACTCAGGTCATATTTAGCCAATCATCAAACTTTGAATGTCATGATTCTTGCTCTGTGTACAATGCATGATGAATAACCCTGTATCAAAATAATTCTTTTCCATTTTTTATCGAATTCTACATAAATATTTGATGTTCTACTTCTTCATGTTGTGGCCTTTTCCAGGAAGTTTTAGTTTTATTAAGTTTTACTCAAATTCTAACGGAACCGAAATTAATTTTTTGATGTCAAATGAAAAATGAAACTTTTCCATTTCAATTTGATGTCTCATAGTATCTTGTTCTACCTTACTATCAGTTCCAATATGTTCGATGATTCAGATGATTCATTCAACAATCACACTGCAGTGTTGAAGAGAATAATTCACAATTTTCCATATTCCACTAATTCGTCGATGTATCACCCCTTTTTTTGTAGCCATTTTTATGATTTTTGTATTTTTCAGACTACTATGGAGGAGGGGCGACAAGGTGATCAGAAGTCATCTCTGCTGCAGAAACTTCTGTCAGAATGACCGCATGTAAATACTAAAGATATATACTACTAGGTACCTCATTGGTTCTGTACCACAGGCTGTAAATCTAGACAGGTTAGCTGTATCAAAAGTGCATTACTACGTTGCTTGTTCGTTATGATAGGGTAGTGCGGAGCAAACGGAAGGCGCAGGGCTACAGTGCAATTGTAAATATTTGAGGACTTGTTTATAATGTTTATATTTATACGATAGTATATTTTATTATTGGACTTGTTTAAAATTAATGTATACTGTTATTATTTTGGATGTGTTTAGTGTTGTCTTCCTTTAGTGAGTGTTCAAGCTACGCATTACCAAAAAAAATAGTAACTGTTAATATTTTATACATAATTTAAAGTATGTTATTTGAAAAGCCCGTTTTGTTGGACATTGTGATAGGCGGTCGCCATGTTACTGTTGCTAGGAAGCGTTTTCCTAGACCTTATTAGAAATAGCATTCATATTGATTGTCAATTACACCCAGCCACTAAATTGAAAAGATGAACAAATTGACAGACAAACATTATTTAATTACACAGATATTTTTTGTACATTATTGGAGTTTTGAAATATATCTATATTAAAAATAAAAGTATAATTTCTGGTTGACTTTCATTCATTGTTTTCCTTAAGAAACTATTCAGTTAGCAGCAACAGGAGTGGCATCAAGAAGAATGGGCCATACAAAAAAATTCTTCATCCTTTGAAAGTATTGACTACCAGAGATCTTGTAAATTTTTGGAATATTAACCAACGTAGGTGATCCATAACTTACAGTGAAGGTGATATAAATCAAGGAAGAGTGAAAAAGCTAATAGTCACAACTCCACCACATAAAAACAATGTAATATTGACCAGGGGTCATGGACATATTTCACTGATAAATTTTGAATTTGGTCGGTATTGAAAACGCAACTCAATGATATTATATCATGTTGCAATTTACTTGATTTCCTCAGTTTTGTTCTCAACTTTTCAATTTCATTATGTAGTTTTGCAATCAAGTCTTTCCTTTTCTATGATAATTTAGTTTTTTCTGTGACGGGAAAAAAGTTTGGCATTTCATCTCTGTTGGCAGGTTATAAAATGTCACTTTTCATTAATTACTTTTTTCCCGTGGGGGAAAAGTGAGTACTTTTTTCCCGGATATATATAACATATATATACACTGTTGATGGCTTTTGTTGTGCTATAGTTCCGAAAAATGAGTCAATAATACCGTCTCCGAGATAGAACTGCAAGTCCTTTTATCTTCCATTCGACTTCGCGGTTACCTATATTACTGAACAACCACTAAATTCGCAATATTTTGAAATCAAATCACAGAATTAGACTGACAGAAGTGACATCAGATATTTGATTACTTCAAAAGAATGATAAAGATGCCTACAACGCAGGTGTCCCTACTGTTAAAATCTTAAAATTTCACGTTGATAATTTTCAGATTTCAAAATAATGTAATATCTTCTCAATATTGATTCGTCCTTTCTTCTGTCACAGAAAAAAATAGTGTATTATACACGGGAAAAATATTAGATTTTAGCTCACGGTTTTTTGGCTCCCTCCGCTACGCGTCGGGAGACAACACAACCTGGAGCTGAAATCTACTACTTTTTTTCCCTTGTATAATAAATAACTATTTGCATTTCATGTGATGATAATATTGGATTTTTGTTCAATAAACTGTTTTCTAAATCAATAGAACAGCAGATTCTCTCAAAGGGATCTTATAAATCTTCTGTTTGAAAATGGGCCTAAAATATAGTTTCATTCCAATCTGCTTTTATAAGAAGTGAATTTTGTATTTACCCCACAAATTTTCTTCAAATTTATTTTCTATCCAGGCCATTATTTCATACATTCCTTTCAGAAGGGAATGGTTGATATTTCCTTCGGAAAATTGAAGAAATGAAATCGCCATTCCCTTCAGAATTCCCGCAATTCATTACACAGCAGGACGTTTTCATTTATGCTTTTTTCTCAATAGTTTATGAAATATTTAAATTCTGACGTTATCATAAAATTTATTGTCAAATTCAAACAATTTTGAATGAAAAAGCGCCTAATGACTATGGCTATATTCCGAATTCAACTGTACAGTACTGTCAGTAGATCCACTGACTCTGCTGAAAATCTGTGTTCGGAAATATGAAATGAAAAATACAGTGCTGTAATTCAGAACAAGTTTTCATTGTTTTCATCAGTAGTCAGCAGCTGTTGATCAGCAGGTGTTTGTCAGTCTGTATATACAGGGTGATTCAAAAGTAAGCGGCATCCTTTCAGAGGCGTATTCCTTGCATGAAAATAAGGCAAAAAGTTCCTATTGATAAGGATCCGAAAATGCTTCCTAAGGGAGCTACGGCCCTTTGAATAGGACACCTCAAAGACGGTTTTTTCTCTATAACTTTAAAATCCTTCACAACAAATTTTTAAAAATTGGTGTACGGCATAAACATTCGATGGTAAATAGGACTCCGTATTCGAAATAATTTCCAAACGAAATCACAGTAACCTGAATATCCGGAGAAGAAGGGATATTTTTACACTTACCCTCTCCCGCATGTGACGCCCCTGAATGAAATTCTGAAATTTCGAATACGGAGTCCTATTTACCATCGAATGTTTATGCCGTACACCAATTTTTAAAAATTTGTTGTGAAGGATTTTAAAGTTATAGAGAAAAAACCGTCTTTGAGGTGTCCTATTCAAAGGGCCGTAGCTCCCTTAGGAAGCATTTTCGGATCCTTATCAATAGGAACTTTTTGCCTTATTTTCATGCAAGGAATACGCCTCTGAAAGGATGCCGCTTACTTTTGAATCACCCTGTATAGTTTCACGTTTATCTGTACTAGATATTCAGCCTCCTGCTTGATATTGGAACTTCAATATATAACATGGAAGAGCAATCGATTCTTGTAGCCTCCATACTTTCTTTGATTGTTGATATTTTTAGGCCTTCATCTACAGGATGTCAAAAATTTGAGGATTAAAAATTTAACTCAGTCCACCCCTGATGAAGTAAGAAAGCTGGTGATATTTCAATTGAACTATTTCGAGGAGTCTGTACTAGTGTCCGTCATATCAAATTTTCATTGGGTTCTGTTTATCGCTTCGAAAGTTATTCAAGAAAAACCGATTTCCAACGGCGTCATTTAGGGGCCCATATCTTCGTCGGGAGGGCCTGTAGGAGAAAAGTGGGAATGGTGGGAATCTTGTGTTTTCTGAATTTTTTTCTTGACATGGCAACGTTGCGCTCTTCGGCAATCTTCGTAATCGTCGACATAAAGGTGGGCATCGTGGGAATTGGGCATCGTGGAAATTGGGCATCGCACTCTGGCGCGGTATTTGCCATTAGAGCATCTGATGGTCCATACAAATATATATGTCACTCTGTGGTTGTATTTATATTGAAACTACAATTCGAACATATGGCACCGCAATGGTGGTTACTTCATTCATATAATTATTCGACCTAATTGTTTCGGCTACGCTAAACGCTCCGCCTCGCCAATGCAAAATTCGGTCAAACGGGAAAAAGAAACCGTGAGCTAAAATCTGATATTTTTCCCGTGTATAATAAATATAATTAAATTTCAACGCCCTGTAGCGGCTGAACGAAACATTTTGGTATAGAGGTAAGTTTTGTTCATCGCGGGATACTCCTCACTCTACCAGTACCGCCAAAATCGTTCCGAAATGAGATGAAAATTCAATTCAATTCAAATTCCTGTGACCAGTAATGGCAGCAATATCGGGACGTGATCGGAACATTACCTCAGTAGTGTCATGAATTCGGAATATGGTCGCTAGTTGTGTCAGTACTGACAGTTGCCAGTTCTGTCAAAGAGGAGACTAACCTACTATTCTTTGGTTCTGTGCTCTGTGCTGATGAGATGAGGCCGGTCAACGGTCAACTCAAGTCAACTGTGTCAAGACTGTCAAGTTGATATTTATTTCTTCAATGGTATAAATATTTTTTCCTTTTTCATCAATTCCAAAAACCAGAACCAAATCCATTGATTTGATGATACCATTGAGCTAAATAACAATAATTTTCAAAATGTTGATTTCATTAAGAAGTGATCATAAGCTTCATCTTCAAATATTGATGCTTCAGCCTATACAAGGTGAATCAACAAAGTTATCACATATCACATATTGAAATGAATAAAAAGAAAATTTCAGTGATTATAGATTTTTGCAAGCTTGCCATGGATTTTCTACAAAATGGTCCGAATATGAAAAGGTACCATACAGCAGCCCAAAAATTAGAAGTTGAAGTAGAAATTGTTCAGAATTGTGTGTATGGTTTGATCAATTTATTATTAATGAGTAGTCAACATAAGGTAAGTAAATACCTAAACTTTCCTCTTAGAAACAGTAGACAGTAGACCAATGAAATGATTATTTATTGGAACTGGAAGTGTATAGACTGCAGACCAGTGGGCCATCTATCCTTTTTTTAGGCTGCTTACCGCCATCTATCCTTTTTTTAGGCTGCTTACCGTTTGGATTTTAAGGAAAAAAACATGATTTGTAAAAAGAAACTTCTGAAAAAATGAGATATACATACACAAACACACTATCCTAATGGTGGAACAAAAACCTAATCAAAAAATCTTGTGAACTTACAATGGAAGAAGGAAAAAACTAGATTAGATAGAAATAAAATATAAAAAGAGAGTGATGGAAACTCAACCCAAACAGACTAACTGATAAGTGGAACAGAAATCTGATTAGAAAAAAAAATGATTGAAACAAAATAACTCCCAAAATAATAAAAAAAACTAGTCCATGTGGGATTTGAACACAGGACCACAGGATTGATTATTAGCCAATGTCTAACCAATGAGCTACTAAAGGTCTTGGATTTTTCAGTCTAGAGAAAAAGTATAGTCAGCCGACTGGTCGGCATCTCAAAAAAAGTATAGGCTGCCGACAAAAGTATAGACTGCCGGTCGGCAGCCTATACACTTTCTTATTTATATACCCAGTGGTCAACAACTCTTAAAATAAAATAGGCCATATCTATTCTCACTATTGATATCTCGAAAATGGTTAATGATATGAAGTTGGACAAAACTTGCTTATTTAAGTGATGTCCTTTTCTTTTAACAAGCATCTAGCTAGACCAGTGAATCTTTCAAACCTCAAGGTTATCAGAAGGTTATTCATGTTTATAAGACTTTATAAGGTAATATGAGGGAGGAAAATATCTCTTCTGCATGAAAAAGGAAAGTACTTTCAACCTAACTTGTCCTAAATGAACCTTTTTCCTGAGTGTATATTTTCAAAAAATTACTTGGGTAAAAAAAAATTTACACCTCACAGGGATTGAACCCCAGGCACCAACGTGGAAGTATACACAGACCACTAAGCTATCGATTCACTCATAGTAGTTATAGTATCAATATAAAGAAGGAAGAAATATCATGTGTTGTGGGTGACGTCACTTGACTTCAGTTGAAAGATTTACTGGTCTAGCTAGACGCTTGTGGCGACGCCGGGTTAAAGTCGAATTATTTCAAATTGAACCCCAGTCACCAACGTGGAAGTCAGATACATAGATCACTAAGCTATCGCTTTAGGGGTCTAGTAACTTATCGTTAGAATACAATATCGTTACCTTGAACCTTAACGATACATTGACCAACGACATTTTGAACGATAAATTCTGGAAGCTTATTCAGTATCAATGTCGTTAGAGAAAAATCTGGGGACATGGTAATAAATGGATTTGGTGAATGTTGGTAACAGTATGTTGATGTTCTGTGGCTAAAAACGCGCGAAACTCAAGAAGGTAATGGTATGTTATTTCTGTCGAATAATATAGTCACTACTTCGTCTTCCAGACAACAAAATTGTTGTTTTTTGTGTTGAAAATTTTATCAGCTGTCTGAGGGAACTTCACAACAAGATTATTGACAATATTATCATCAACCCCATGGAGTGGTCGACACATTGCGGGATGAGATGAACTTTTGAGTCTGTCTGAACCCACATCAGGTTTTTGATAAGTTCATGTGAATACCATGAAGTATAAAGCAGTAAAAACTGAAAAGTTGAAAATTTTATGTAGAAAATCATAAGAAAAAGGACGGCGAAATAGCGCTGTGATCGAGGCGCGTGACTAGTACACAGAACATCAAAAGGTCGCTAGGTTCGAATCCCTGGCAGAGCAAAAATTTTATTTTAAAAACGAGAGAAATTTTAATTTTCGTTCGTGTCGTTGGTGCGTTTCAATTAAAAGGTTCTGCTCCTAAGGTGGCGTATGGAGTTAGTAACAAAGCCCACATAGAACACACATGAGCTGAAGGATCTCTCGTAAGGTCGATGGCCAATTGGTATGTATACATGCATACATGCCAACGAAGTATATATTATATACTACTATCTATAAGAAAAATTCTCTATGTTTCTAATCTCACTCTCATGATAGAAGTGTTATTCTTGTCACATCAATTTTGTGCTGAATCTTTTGCTCAATATTATATAGATACATCTGACGAATTAGCACATCTGGTAACTCAGGATTACTCATATCCTTGAGTATATTCTGAGTTGCTGTCTATATGTTGTTGTCTGAAATGTTATTGATGATATCACATGATAATCTGCGTGCCATCTCTTCTAGAACTAGCTCTACTAATGCCCGTTTATTCATTTTTTTATAATCAGCAATCAAATTATCTTTCCACACTCACCACTCTCTCTGCCAATTTCTATATTTTTTTTATGTCTCCTTCACGTAACGACAAAAAATGCCTCCAAAGACACCTCACCGATGTCGTCTACAAACGATAAGTTTTGTCGTACAGGTACGACAATCGTTAGCTACAGAATAACCAATATCGTTCCGTAACGATTATCGTTCGCTAACGATGTCGTTATAAGCGTTTGTCGTATCCTTAGATATTAGAATCACCCAGTATCCTAGATTATTCGATATGTCAATAGTTTATGACATGCGAAGATTAGTTTTCAATAAATGTGTCAAGTACCATTACAAGCTCTTCTAATATATTCCAGTTCTATACAATAATTGGCGACGATAGTGAAAAATAAGATTCAATATTGAAATGGACGCAAATCAATTCAAGGAGCTGATGTTAGCGCTACAGGACCAACAGCAAGTATTACTGACACAAATTGCTAATCAATTTCGATCGGAACGATGTTCCGAAGTTTGAAAATTTCGATCCAAGACGTGAGAAATTCCTATGTTATCTGTAACGTTTCGAAAATTATTACACCATGAAAGGTATCACGGATAAATACAAAATCGCCCAACTTCTATGTGTGTCGATTGGGTCAACTCACTATAATAGCTTAGCAGCTTTCTTAGGACCCGAAAAGCCAGTAAAAAATCTATGATCTTGTTCAATCATCCAAACAAATGCTCATTCCTAAACGTAACGTCATCGTATCTCAGCACTATTTTCCCAACATTTATCAAAAGGACCGCCAGTCCATTGCCGAGTTTGTTGCTGCTCTTCAACGAGACATAGTCGAATGCGAGTTTTCCGTGAAGTGCGAATGTAACGCAGCAGTTTCAATAGCTGATGTTTTTCTCAGAGCACAATTCATCAGAGGCATACGTGATGACTGGCTACGGGAACAGCTACTTCAATCCAATGTCACGAATTTTGATGAAATTTTGTCCAAGGCCATCGCATTGGAAGATTCAAAAATTGAAAGCAAAGAGCTTACTCAATCTCAACGCTCTAGTTCGGATCATTCCAACTTCGATACAAGTGATTCAAAAAACTTTCAAGCTCCTCTAGGAACCGTTCTAGAAATCGATCCAGTTCCAGAACCAGTTACTGCTCATCAAGTCCCAGTAACCGTCCCCGTTCTCGGCGTCAACGACCAAACTATCAGGCCCTTGGCATTGACAATATGTGTTTCCGCTGTGGAAAAAACAAAACGATTGTCGTGTAGATCGTTCAAACGTTACATGTGATCTCTGTAAAAAGACAGGTCACGTGGGAAAGGTCTGTATAACAACCCTGTTAAAGAACTCACATCATAGACCTAGCAGTACCAGTTCTTCGTCTTCAGTTCAAAACGTTTGCTCAGATTTCTCATATGGACTCAACCAAATAAAACCCTTCAATGTTGTCGATTTATTCGAAATGACCCCAGATTCCAAGAAATATTTAATCTCAGTGAATTTGAATGGAAAACCTCAAGGGTTTGAAGTAGATTCAGGAGCAAAATTTTCACTGATAGTTGAAAATGACTTCAAGAGACTGGGTGCCTCTTGAACCTTCGACTCTTGCTTTCCGATCTTACTCAGGCAATATTATCGAACCGAAAGGAAAAATAAATGTCACTGTTGAATATCGTAACGAACAAATCCTAGGTGAATTACATATTGTACCAGAGGGTCACGATGCATTACTAGGTCGTCAATGGATACGAGGATTAGGAATTGAACTTCGACAAATTGATGCAGATGAAAAAATTCCAAGTCAAATATCTAGTATTCATTCGATTAGATCAACTGAAGACATATTCAATCATTTTCCTTCGATTTTCCTGGAAAAGGTTGGATGTGTGCCGCATTTCCAAGTTTCCCCTCGACTTTGTAAGGACGCGTAACGGCCAAACCCGTCTATACACCAGAGAGCGAGATGTTCCGTACGCGCTTCGTGAGCTAGTAGAGAAGGAATTGGACTACCTGGAAGCAGACGGTATAATATCTCCTGTCGCTGTCACTGATTGGGGTTCTCCACTTGTCAGCATTCCCAAACCTGATGGAGTACGCTTGTGCGTTGACTACAAATGTGGCGTTAATGAACGATTAATCCAGGCAAACACGCCCATTCGAAGAATTGACGATGTACTCAACAGTCTACGCAACTCTCGGTATTTCTGCAAGCTTGACCTTTTCAAAGCGTACTTACATCTGCAAGTCGACGAAAACAGCAGTATAATTCAAACTATATCCACACATCGGGGAACCTATCGCATGAATCGCTTGAGTTATGGGATCAAAACTGCTCCAGCTGAATTCAATAGGATTTTATCGCAGATCCTCAAGGATCTCCCAAAAACTGAAGCGTATTTTGATGATATAATAGTTCATGGAACAGATTTCGACGAGCGTGCTCAAAATCTTGAAGAATGCCTCCGTAGACTCTCGGACTACGATCTTATTCACGTTAAAATGTTCATTTTTCATGGAGAAAATCGATTATATTGGTCATATTGTTGAATACAGCAGAATAAGCAAGTCACCAGCCAAAATGCGCGCCGTTCAGGATTTACCACGACCTTCGAATGCTGATGATATCAAACGATTTCTCGGACTTGTCACTTATTACTCTCAGTTTATACCAAATTTTTCAACGATGTCATACCCACTTCGATGTTTACTTAGAAAAAACCAACCCTGGGTATGATCATCAATTTGTGAAGCTGCTTTCCTGAATATCAAAACTGAACTTTGTAGTGACCGAGTACTAATGCCTTTCGACCCATCTCCTCCACTGGTTTTAACAACGGATGCTAGCCCATATGGGGTTGCTGCGGTGTTGAGTCATCAATTTGATGGATTCGAGAGACCCATCGCTTATGCTTCTCGTGCACTCACAGAGAGAAGAACTATAGCCAGTTGGATAGAGAGGCTCTTGCTATAATTTTTGGTAAAACATTGACCGTGATATAGAGCGAATGGTCAAAAGCTGCAAAATATGTGACTTGACAAAATCAAAGCCTGTGCACCCGTGGGATCATCCTGAGCTAAATTGGGAAAGGATTCACATCGATTATGCGGGTCCATTCGAAGGCCGTTACTTCCTGATGTGCGCCGTGGATGCCAGACTGTCGTATCTTTAGATATTAGAATCACCCAGTATCCTAGACTATTCGATATGTCAATAGTTCATAACATACGATAATTAGTTTTCAATAAATGTGTCAAGTACCATTACAAGCCCTTCTAATATATTCCAGTTCTATACAATAGCGTTACAGAATAGCCTCCTTTTATCATAGTAGATATAGTTTATCAATATAAAGAAGGAAGAAATATCATGTGTTGTGGGTGACGTCACTTGACCTCGATGTTTGAAAGATTCACTGGTCTAGCTAGACGCTTGTGGCGATGCCGGGTTAAAGTTGAATTATTTCAAAGACGGTAATTGACGTATCGTTAGCGCGATTAGCAATGTTTGCCTATGTATCGCCGTGGCCGTGGTCGCCAGTCGAGAGTGATGGAGAGAAGGACTTCTGTTGCATTTCTCTCACCGCGGTTCGTTATAGTAGTCTGGCCGGTAGTGACAGATTTTTTGCAACGTTATTTTAATGTATGCAACTTTCAAGCTATGATTTCCATGGGTTTTCAACATATCCTAGACAATAAATATCAATTTGTGCTCGCATGCAGCGGCGTCACCAAAATTTGAATGTGCATTGAAAATTGATGATTTCGAACGATAGTAAATGCATGCATTGGTTCTTGTTGAAATTTGAAAAAAAAATGATACCATGGCAAAAATTTGTATACCTTGCCCTCGTGTATGAAGACCCGAGACTTTGAATCAAACATGTGATGAAGAGCGGGATATTTTTGAACAATTGTTCAAAGTATATACTTTTTATACAATTGTGGTATGCACATGCGCTGAAGTCATTTTTTAAACATGCATTGTTTTTTGTAATCACAAAAAAATATCAATTACCATTCATTTGGTGTGATATTAATCTCAATTCTAGATACTCATTTCATATTTTCATGTGAAGCTTAACTATACAGGGTGTTCCAGTTTTTTGTAGCAGGACTTTAACAGCTTGAAGAAGACATTTTTTTAAGATGAAAATCTCATACAAACATATATGCGTGGGAGCTTCGTTTCCGATTTACAGGGTGTCAAAGTTTTCGTTTTTTTTTCATGTTTCGTTTTTTCTAGTTTTAATTATAATGGTGTTCAAAAAATTCAATTCAATTTTGCAACTGAATTTCATTTGGTATGGAAGCTTTTGGTCCTTCAATTTTCTAATAAAATGTTTAAGCAATGTCGAATAAGTTTGTTTGAGAAATAACGGTTTTATTACAAGTAATTCATTTTTGGCATTTATCTCGAGATCCATACAGTTTTAGGAAAATTTACATGGGGGCAAAAAGTTTCCAAACTGAATGAAAAATCTGAATCTATGTCCCATTGAAAGCAGAGACGGCACGCAAAAGAGTTCTACAGGGTAAAATTGGGTACGACCCCTGAAAGTCTATCACCCTGTAGGTATTCAGAAATGTTCAATAGTCTCAAATATTGAATTTTCGAAGTGTATTAGGTGTACAAAATTTCAATCAATTATTCCGAAAATTGTAGGAGAAAATTCAAAAATCATAAAAAATAATCTGAAATGTTGACACCCTGTGAATCGGAAACGAAGCTCCCACGCATATATGTTTGTATGAGATTTTCGTCTTGGAAAAATGTCTTCTTCAATCTGTTAAAGTCCTGCCACAAAAAACTGAAACACCCTGTATATTTATTGATATGAGTTATTTCGATGCACCCTTTGTTCAATCGTCACACGTTCATCCAACTGAAATATTAATTCATTATACAATAATCAGTTGATTTATTATATTTTTCAGCTAAGCGATGCCGATTTTCGTGACTCAGTGTTGACATTAGGATTTTCGCAAGAACAGCAGAGCATTTTAAGTAAATTTTACGAATCAAAACAAAAAGAAATTCAAGAATTGATGAAAGTGCCGGTTAATGAGCCACATTATGATAATTTGAAGTGGAGATTTGAAGCACAGGTAACGTTGATTGATTATCCTTATCAGTAAGTATTCAGTTTCTGATATAAACCTTTGTATAACTCCTAAAAAACGCGTATTTGAAGAAATCAAAAATCTAATCTGGCTTCAACAAACTATCATTAGTATTGTTGTAAAATCGAAGAAAGTTCGTTGGACCAGTATGTTTTCTTTGCTTGAATTTAGAAATACTCATTTTTTATATCTCCATGTTACGTTCACGTGTCAGCAGCATTCTTGTAGTTGAAAAATTACAAAATCTGAAGATTTTAGCATTGTTTTTAGTAAACTATTTGTAATACTAATTCATTATTATCATAACACATTGGCACTGCGTGATTTGAAAATAAATAAAATCAACATCTTCAAGTGATTTAAGGAAAGCTGAAATTCCAGTACCTATTTTATTCTTTAGTTAGCACATAAACTACAAGCCACAGGTGGCAGACCGATGAATCTAACAGAGATAACGAGCATATTATGCAGGTTATTACATGATCATGGATGTGGTTCTTTAATATATTCCAAGAAAAATAGATCTTATAAACGTATGTCCAGGAACGCTTCGTTTCCGAGATATGTGGTGTTGAAGATTCTTGAGAAAAGTTGTTTTCATCGATATCTGAACGATCCTTCAGAAGCCTTTGAAGAAATTTTCACAATTTCCTGCTGATATCCTAACAAGACACATTTTGGACCTATTCCAGAGACGTCCTAATTGGGCGGGTAGGAAAGATTTTTGTCGTTTGCACAAAATAGTATCACCTACCAGATTTTGTTCAAATTTTGTATATTTTTTAGATTATTTCCTTATTTTGCCTCATTTTCGAGAAATTATTAATGTTTGAAAACAAGTTCGGAAAATAGTGTTTTACTGCATTAGAAGATGAGCCCTAAGGTTAGCCCTGAATTAGTAGTAGTAGTAGTAGTAGGTGGGGAGGCTGTAGCCAAGCAAGTAGGCCCCGATGGGCCCTTTTTGTTAACCCCTGCTCTCCACATATCTACGCTTCCTTCACCTAGATTTCCTTTACGAATATCCCTGACCTTCTGATGAAAGCCAGTATGTCCGTCCACTCTAATATAATCGTCCTCCTGTTGGAGTTTGTCTACTCCAAAGATTTCAAATCTCAGCCTTCCGTACGCCTCGCACTCGCCGAGGAAATGGAGTGCCGTTTCCTCGTCTTCCCCCTATCTGCGGCAAGTGGGGTTGTCCTCTATTCCCATAAGTGGTAGGTGTCTGCCTAGCCTGTTGTGTCCTGTGAGTACTCCTATGAGGAGGCGGAGTACTTGGCGGTCTCTGCCAAGCAGCCACTCCTTCCTTGATTTGCTTGGACCGGCCATGAATTCCTTGGCCTGCCTGCAACCTGTGATATTTCTCCAGTATTCTCCTAGTGCCTTGTCTGCCCATTCATCGAGGGCTGACGTAATTTGGCTCCTTGCTATACCTAGTACAGGCTCCGGTCCCAGAAACGGCTCCGCGGATCCGGCCCTAGCAAGTTCGTCTGCTGTTTCGTTTCCGGGCACCCCACTGTGACCCTGAAAGTCTGCGAGTCGAAAACAAACATTTTCCGGGCGTGTTGCGTATTTCGACAACAAAGCAAGATACATAATATTTATTTGTAGAACAAAATCAGGAGTAGAGACGGCTCGTCAGGGACGGCAGGGTCGGCCGAGCCGTACCAGAAAATTTGGGAACTATTTGATGAATTAATAAATACAAAAAGCTCAAAGTTCATTTCCCCACAAAGTTCATAAAATGAACAACAATGGTAGATTTCGCTAGAAAAACAACTACTTTCCTAGCTAAGGTCACGCATAACATTGAATTACTTCCTCCCGGAATCTATGCATCGACTCGTATAAACGAATACTGATACAAGTGATTCTTTCCTGAATGCCTATTGATTTTGATCTAGCCAGGCCACGCTAGACCCTCACAGACCGGCTTCGAGCTCTTTGACTCTCATTAGTGCAGGGTAGTCGCCAGCCAGCAGTCCTAAGACCGCCGACTAAGCGTAGCCTAGTTAAACAAAAACCAAGATGGCATTATATTCAAAATCAGAATGGCGATGTATTGGTTGAGATGATGAATGATACATCGATTGCTATAATAGTAGTTGAGAACTAAAGACAGGACGCACCAAATATTGTCGCGCAGAAGGATAGTTCATTCGAGCCGTTTTCTCGGCGGGGGACGTGGCCCTGATGACGTAGGCAACGGACCTGAATTCAAAAATGTCCATTGCAAATCCAGTACAGGGCCGTGTAGGTGAATGAATTACTGATTCATTTCTTGCTGATATTTCGAATAAATTTATTGAGGAATTAAGTAATACCACTAATGCCTAAAGTAAAGATTTGGAGACTAGATGGTGTCAAATAAACGAATACAAAATTTTCAGATAGGTAGGTATGTTTATACCTACTCATGCCCCCATACCTATTCTATATGCTTATGCCTGTAATGAAAAATTTTGAAATTTGAGAAGACCTTAATAGATTTTCTGACTCATATCATCTTAACATATTTTAGATAAATTATCATTGGAATAGAGGCAAGTGTTTTTGATCATTTGAATATTTTTTGATTTTTTTCCATGTTGTACGTTTTCCTTCACTCGCGGTGACGTAGCTACCGGGTGGGCCTGGGGGGGGGGAGGCCCCACGGCGCCCTTTTTGTTCCTGCTTTTCTCTTTCTCTTTTTCCCCATCAACGCTACTTAATTTATGAAAATTACGTTTAACAGCATTTCATACACCACCCCATATTAGAAAATAGACTGCTAAAATTAATTATTTAAACCTTTCCATTCAGTGTCCCTATAAGAGATTGTGAGCTTCACAAGCAAGCTAATATACTCCAGAAAAATACGCTGACGATTAAACAGAAAAATCTGCAGGTGGAATACAACTATGCATTCAGAGCGAATTTAAAAAATAGAGATACAATAGAACTTTGATTTACTTTTTTGTTAATATCAAGCCAGTCTCGAATTTTCCTATTGTGTGCACTTCTCTCTTATCATTAAATTTGTAACATTTCCTGTGACATTTGCTACTCCGGAGATGACATTTTCCAAGCTGAAGAAAAAGTCTTACTTTGATCGTTATAGGGGCTATGTCCAATGTTTTCTTCCTAGTAAGCTCAAAACAGTTCCGTCAATTACCCTTTCATCATATACTAGTTAATATACCCTAAGGCAGATTCGTTAAGGAACTATGAGGCGTTTTTTTTCAAAATATTACAGAAAGTATATGTTAGAAATTCTTCCAATTCGTTAAACTTTCGTTAATATACCGATACATTCATAGGTCTTTCACATTCATTTTTTTCCCCACATCGAATAGTTGAAGCTGTAGCTGTGTCTCCTCATTTTCTCTCCAAATCTGAATGAGAAAACTCTCCATACAATTTTTGATCTCATAGGTTGCATCGAGGGCACTTTTGCATCAGGCGATCCCACTTGTAACTATGGAGCTCCAATTGAAGACTGACAGAGGTGATGGGACTGGTAGCAAAAAGGAGAATATATTGTTACAGACTGATCCAAATAATCTAATGCACATTACCAATGAATTAGAAAAAGCTCTCAATGAGTCCAGGAGTAGGCAATCAAGAAAAATACAACGGGCTTTAAAAAACTGATTTATTTCGCAATTTTATTGACGAATTTCAATAACAAGTGTAAACTATAACAATTCGAATGCAATGTTAATTTATATTAAATATAAAATATATTATCAATTTGCTTTTTTCGTTTTACCCAGGGCTTTTTTTCGTTGAGAGAACATGTGAAGGTAAAGTTGTGGAAATACTGTAAAGAAACAAAATAACTAGTTAGGTCCATATCCATAGCGAAACAATTTCTATTTCCTTCGGTGGTCAGTTTCACATTTTCTTTGCAGAAGGCGCTTCGATCAATAATACAGGGTGTTGCGAAATTCGACCGATAACGCTTGACAGGTGATGGCCCTCGTGATTTCATAATCACTGAGATAGGGACATGCGGTCTTCAAGTGTTCAGTTCTCGAGATACAGGGCGTTAAAGTTAAGAAATAAAAATAGTTGTTTCACAATATCTCAAGAAAAATTTACCATAATGCATTCAACTTCGGTATATGGTTTCATCTTTGAATGTGTCATTTTTTGACCAGGAAGCCATTCCGGACATTTTATCCAGTGGTGCCCTACAGGGGGGTGTGGCTACTTTTCCTCCCATATTTTCTACGCCACTGATCAAATTTCAATTATTTCAACCTTCAACTGAGCTGAAATAAACAGTTTTCGAGATATTCGACCCAAAATAGAAGATTGCATAGTAATATTTCATTAAAAATTACTATGCAAACTTCCATTTTGGGTCAAATATCTCGATAACTGTTTATTTCAGCTCAGTTGAAGATGATGCAGTTTTTTCATGTAATTGAACAATCAATTCTAGAAATTGGAAATAATCGAAATTTCATCAGTGGCGTAGACAATTTGGGAGGAAAAGTTTTCACAACCGTCTGTAGCGCACCTCTGGGTAAAATTCTCGGAATGTCTTCCTGGTCAAAAAATTAACCATTGAAAGATGAAACCATATACCGAATTTGAATGCATTATATCCAATGTTTCTTGAGATATTGCGAAAAACCTATTTAAATTTCTTAACTTTAACGCCCTGTATCTCGAGAACTGAACACTTGAAGACCGTATGTCCCTATCTCAGTGATTATGAAATCACGAGGGCTATCACCTGTCAAGCGTTGTCGGTCGAATTTCGCAACACCTTGTATGAATCAAACCGATCAATGATCAAACTAATAAGATATAAGAATATCCCGATGGATAAATGCTTGAATGGTCAAAGTTCTGACGCATCAGAGGAGGGCTGTCCTTGGCAACATAATTTTGAGGCCAGAGGACGTAAAAGAGATTCAGCTGAGGAAGCTGCTGAACTTCTCCAAGGAAGTCAGCATACCCAGCTGAATGTCGTAACATGTGGGCGCACAATGGTCCCGAATAAGGAGGCCCACGTGCAGGGGGTTCACCCGCCCACCAGTGCTTCGAAGAAGAAGAAGAAGAATAAAGAAGATGGTCAAAGTTTTTCACCATTTTCTCTGAAGAATGAACGAGTCAATTCTCCTTTCAATATCAACAGACAATATGCATATGAGTGGACGACCCACCATCATTTTATGAGTTTTATGTCTCTACAATACATGATGATTGTGATGGCCACATGTCTCCGTGTTTTTTGTTTTTTCAAGATACAAACATTTGTTTGAATTATGTTAGTTCATCTTCAAAGTCATTTTTGCAGTGATTCTCAAGTTTCTATCAGTTGAAACCCATGTTTATAATATTATTGACATTATAGTTATTAACAAGGCCGATATGTAGCAAATAACGGATGAGGTTGAAATGGTCGAATATTGTAATCCGAGGTGCAGCCGAGGATTATAACAACCGAATCCGTTATTTGCGTATCAGCCGTGTGTCGTTCAAAACTATTCCTAATCCCGCTGAAAGATTATATTTTGATTCCGAGGAAAGAACAAACCACGTACCTCGTAATTCTACAGAAAAATTCGAACATCGTGTTGTTATGGAACAGTTAACGGCCGCCGGTCGTTAAACAATCTCAACGGACGGAGGCTGTTAACATCAACTTTTCAATGGGCGAGTGGACTGATTATGAATTATTGGCATTCAATTACTCCACTGTGTCGTTAGGAACCTAAATTAATTATCGCAACACTTCTCACGATTTTTTTATGTAAATAATGAGTATGCGTTGTTCAAAATTGTTGAATTTCAGGGCTCATTTCATGGTCGCCATTTGGCGATACGTCGAATAAATGGTGACGTCAGTTTTTATGCTGTTTCGTTATTGGTCAGATAATCTTTCATTTCCACTCATGAAGCAAGGTTGTCAAGTCACCAATTTTCATCAAATCATCAAAAATATGTTAGGGTCTTGTCGTTGAATAAAACATAATAGGAGGAACCCATGATGTTTTAGTTCATTCTTGAATATTTCGAGCAACCAGCATGTCCAAATATTTCTTATTCTCCACAACAAAATATGTGAATGTTGGAGACTTGGCAACATTGTGCTGAGTGCTGAGAACAGACAAGACAACGCGCACAGGTCGTGCGCTGTGGTTGTCACATTCACCGATTCAAATGTCCTCTAGTGTGAAATAATATAATTATTATTTATACAAATTTACCATAAGCAATAAGCCACAAGGTAACATTTTGAGACAATTGAATTTTTATTGTTAATTAGGAGTATTACTTATACTCAATTCAGAATTTATGAATTATCGAATAACTAATATTTCTGAAGTTCCCAATCGTATTTCAACACATGGCAACTATGCTATGGTCTGCGCCTACTTACGAAATCGTCGCGTCAGTTTTTACTGGCGGTAAATTTCTGGTCATGTGAAAATTACGGTGGCATTATTGATGATTTTAGCACCTAAAAATCGACCGAAAATTTCTCAAAAAATATGAAATTGAAAGGTATTTGAGTAATGATTCTATTTGAGAAAAAAAATTTCCACTCGCTTATTGTCATCTGAATAATGTTAAATCAAAATAACAGTATCGGATTACGAAAATCAAATAGATATCAATACTTTTGGGAATGTGAACTTCTCGAGGGAGACACCAAAAATAGTCCACCTTTTCCTATGGGAGAAGATTTTCAAAGAATATTTGATTTAATGGCAGTTATTTGCATTTGAAACTGACAGAAGTTGCTTGTTCTAATAATATTTTTCCACCACTAGCTATAAACCTACCATTATTTACTCCTTTTCGAGGCGTAAAGTGTGTTTTTCCTACCAAGGTAGTTTTCGTCATTTTATGAACCACTAGTCAATAAAGACATTGCCACCTCTGTTATAATTAACTCGAATTCACTGTTCTCATGCGATATTCAAACGAATGGCAATTCGCGATAGAAAATATCACGTCGCCCCACCTGACGGTCGGTGCCAATTTTTTGAGAATATGCCGCGAATATAATATGGATTGCGAAAGATGGAAAGAATGGGAGCCAAGCGCACAAAATGTAAGTTGCGATCACCAATTCAATATCAAATTAAAAACGGAATCCCCAGTGCTCGCTAGAAATAATGGTATCAGTTGAAACTAGAAAGTGTTACGTCAGTCGATGTATGACTCAAAGTCTCACCTGTAATAACTATTATTATTACTCACATGGTATGTACAGCAGCATGATGAAAATTAGCACGTGTTGATAATTGAATATGAAATTATATTTGTTTGGCATCAGTATTGAATAGAGTTTTCCATCTCCAACTTCTCGTTGTGCTGCATAGAGACATAGTAATTCTCCAGTTATTCCTAATGGATACAGGCCAATGAACAATGTGTATCTGAAATAAATAACCATCATTATTATCAATATTTCATTACATTGATATTTGATGTGGCGAAAGCTGATAAGTTGATAAGTACCATAAAATGGGGCGAAATTAGGGGGCGAATTGAAATATCCGTGCGCGCTCGAACCCAACCACGTGCTCCCATTTTTTTATCAACAATGAAAGCTGGACATTTCGCCGTTCCAGAATAATAATGACGTAACAATTTTTTGATAAAATGAGTTATGCCCAGAGAAAAGTTTACTTCATCTGGAAAAAAATCGTCAGAATTGTAGTTAAATATTTGTCTCCTAGATGTAAGTTACGACGTTATCGAATTTGTATCAATTGGCACTATTTCACTGGAAGAAAACAGTCGCAACGGTCAGTTGTGAGAAGTTTTCTATAAAAAGTTGACGCAAGTTATTTTTTTCCAGTACAAAAACGCCGTAAATGTATCTTGAGAGTATTAGATGTGATGTTTAATACATTATTTTGAAGAAATATTGACTTAAGTGTTTTTTGAGTCATTGTTTATTTCTCAATATAAAAAAAATAATGACATAACTATCCCATGCGTCATTTCCTCCTCTTAAATATTATCTAGTTCTAATCGTAATTGCACTTTCAGGCTATATTACATCGGATTATTTAGATTCTGAATGACCCAACTGTTCTTCGCGACAAATAAATTGGAACATTCCAATCTTCCATTTGTTATCAATGCGACATAAAAATAACAATAAAACAAATTATGAATGAAATTGTAACTTTTTCATAGTAATTAGTCATTCTTGTAGATTATTATAAATTTTCTCTTTAAATCTTCACATTTAAAATCCAAACTGATTCATAATATCGATGGAAAAGATTGAGATATTGACATTCTCAATTAATTTCAGAGACATCTGTTAAGCCAAACGAAATAATATAGATATTTCAGGTCGAGAAAATACGACGGCTTGGATCTGGTATCCTGAACAAATTTTTTTCACAATATTTGCAAAATTTATAGATCTCTTATTTGATTTTCATGATTCATAAGTCACAATTGCAGCTATAAATTAGACATGCAGATAAAACTTTTTCAGTTTCCACTGTTGTAACTGAAAATTAGGTGCGAAAATTTGTGAAATGAAAAGCTGTTTAAGTATAAATGTAAGTTCAGAACCGTCAAAAGAAGAAGACGTTCTGAGATTATACACTCACCCTCAAACTTGAATCTCTGACATTAAAGGGTTGTAAATCTCTGGTTGACACAAATATCATTTTCGAATTACAAATTTTCAGCTTCTTATTCTTGTTATTCATTTGAAATTTTGAACTCAGGGTTCTTCTGATTAAACAGTTGGACATTATTTTTCAGTTCTTATTTTTTCTTACAGTTGGGTAATCATCCGAGGGTTGTTTATTGATGTTATAATTACAATTATAACCTACATAAGTGCAATTCATCCTTTTGAAATTATTTTAAATGATTCGAAAAACATTCTACATCTTTGTCCAATGAATTTTAGAGGATTCTAGTTTATACCATTGCTCCTGAGTGAACAGAAAATATCATCTGGGGTTGAAATCAATGAGATCCTTCATCTGTTTTCATTTTCAAAACCAAGGAAATCATTAAAAGTGCTGACACAATTGCCTAAGATGTTTTTCTTTCAGCATGAATAAAGACATTACTTCAAATATCCATATCAAATTTCAAAATATCATCTCTTTGAACATAGTACATTGAAGTATGAGGGTATACTCCCAATATATCGAAGGTTCAAACTCATAGTATAAATCGCCTATTTGGAAATCGAAAATTTGATATTTTGAATCCGTTTTTTCCTTCTCCTGTAAAATTTACTTTTTTGCATTTGCGTCATTATTATTCTGGAGCAGCGATTTTTTGTATATGTAGGAATCTATTATACAAATAATTTTCAGTCGATTGCACCCCTGTGATGCTAAAGGTTTATGTGACAAAAATTCCGTTAGGTGGGTAAATATAAACACTTGTTTTCGTTCTGTTACTACTTCCAGTTTCGAAACATGTCTTTTTTTATTGCCAATATACTTGAATTTGAATAGTATCCTAACCGGAGATTTGCGTAAAATTTTTTTTGGATATCCAGTGGCGTACCAATTGATTTTTTTTACATTACTGGGGCGAATTGAAATATGGTTAAAGCTTCAAAAAAAAACCTGGGACGCAGAACTATCAGGTATTTTCTTCAACTGGAAAAACTCAATTATAATCTTCTTCATTACATGTCGCCTCCATGCGACTATATCTTGAAAATTAGCCCGAGAATTGACGATTTTTCATGTCGCCCCAGAGTCCTGCCATATATTCCTTTTGGTCCAAAGTAATGTATTATGATTTTTATATGCACTCAATTAACGTATTCGACGGTTCAGGGCCAATAATCTGACGATAACATGCCAAGTCGCCAAAGAACCAGGCCGCCCCTGTAACTTTTGAATCGTTCGAGATGAAATTCTTAAATTTGGAAGGTTCATATAAGATCATATTTTGCATTCACTGATCTGATTATGCATTTCGAGTTACTTCCGGTGTCGCCGGAAATGATCTCAACTTTTGATGAGACATATTTTCACATTTTTGGATTAAGGAGATCATGCAGTTGTATAATTTTTGGGTGAAAATTTTCTTAGCGTCCATTTTTTATTTGATTTTTGGAATCGTATCTAGGTGGCTGTTACTGCCATAAATTGTTTTTGTTTCAGTTACTTTTCAAGGGAAAAATTCAAATCATACTATTTCACAACTAGCTTGCCTATAATCGGCTCTCCGAGTGATCATAAACGATTTTTCTAGAATAAAGTTTCTTTTTCAAATAGAATGATGGTGGGCCATGTAATTTTTTTTCAAGGTATATTGTTAGTTATTTGACGTACTGCATTGCTGGACTTCGTCGATGATATGAAAAATAAAGCCTCATTATTATTTCTCTCATTATTAAGTTTACAAGATGCCAACATTTAGTCCCGGCGGTCTCGTACACTCAAAACAGATATTCCCTGTCAAGGGGTTCATATTTTGGGCGAAGAATCATAACAACAATAAATATTTCAAGAGAGGAGGATCATTATTCTCATCATCATTGAGTCGATTATGCATGAATGGGCTTATATCACAAAAAATTTTCATTTCATAATTCGATAGAACTCACCCAAACTAGCTCACCACCGCAAACCGTTTCTTGCTGTGAGCTCCCTACGTTTTATAAAAAATTATTGAAATCCCCGATTTTTCGGACCTCTGAAAACGAGGCGATGATGTGACGTCAAAACCCTAATACTGAAACAAGACTATTCCAGGCAGAGATGAATGATACATGATTTCTGACAGAGTGAATTAGCGCGAGATCACAGTTGAAAGAATTAATATATCAGTTGCCTCAGTCTCCGTCGGGCGTTTGGTATTTTCTTTTAACTATGGCGAGATGAGGTTTCTACGTCATAAGAGGGTCTTCAGAAGATACTATTATTTATGTCCAAAAATAAAACATTCCAGTTAATTTTTCGATCGAATTATGTCGTCAATCATTATTTATGTATAAAAGGATCATTATAAACATGGTTTGAGTTAAAAGTTCTTCTACGTTGTACACGCCCATTGATACGGTAAATTCGCTGGGTTATAATAACTAATTAAGACCATTTTACTGCTACTACTCATATACTTCTTCATTGAAAGTAAAACAGTGAGAATTATTCAACCAGATATTCCATGAATTATGATATTCAACATTCAAAATGATACAATGGATGAAATGCCTCACAAACTCCAATGCTTTTGTGGAATCATGGCGGTCTTGCATAATATATGCATGTTTAAAATTTGAACTAAATATAACCTCGATTGTTTATGAAATATCATTCGAGCTCATGTTTAAGTATTAAAAAAAAAAGTTGATAAAGAAATGCTCATTTTATCAGGTATCGATACATTACATGTAATTGCTGCAATGATAACTAAATTACAGACAGAGAAAACAAAGTACTCAAAACATCGATTTTGCACGAATCTATATTAAAGATAAAATTGTTTTCATCCACAGGACTACTTACTCATTTCAATAAACAGGGTTTCAATTTTCATAATTTTTAGCCACACATCCGATAAAATTGTTTTCATCCACAGGACTACTTACTCATTAAAATAAACAGGGTTTCAATTTTCATAATTTTTAGCCACACATCCAGAAATCATCACATACAAGAAAAAGTTGAATGCCTCTTATTTATGAACAGAATCATTTCATAATCTACTGATAAAACATCATGACACTTATTTATTATTATAATCAGCTATATCATCGTTATTCTTCAGTTAATCATATACACTCAAGATGGCATGATATTTTGGCACGCTCTCTGTTTAAATTAATAATATGTATAAACCTAAATAAGGCAATACTTTATCTGATTCAGATCAAATTCAATTTTTTATGTACCTCTGTTATAACAGTTTGTTGCTTACGTTTAGTTTTTTTTATTTATTTGGTATTTTTGTTGTTCATTTTTACTATTGGTTTCTCTATTTTATATACTCAAATCTTATAAAAGTACCTATGTAACAGTATTTTGTGATATTTGTGAGTATTTTTTAATTGAGAATTAGGAATATGATTATTTTTGTATGAGAATGTTTGTTTTGTTTGCTACTATTTTGTTGGAAATAGAATACTTTTCTGTTTACTAAAAGAACATAATGTATTCGCCACATTAAGTATGCTTAACCTATAACCTTATACGTTTCATGGTTTTTGGGGAATAATGAACGTATTCATTATTCAGAATTTTTTGGGATTTTCTCTCCTCGTTTCTATAAAATAAAAATATGAATATTATCTCAATATACGTGTAGTAAGGACAAATCAGATGATTTGCCCCAAAATGTCACTGCGTTTAAAGAATTTTCCTATCAGAGAGCCTAAAAGAAAAATTCACTAGCTTGTCAGTGACAATTTGTATTGAAAAAATTTTTGGAGAAG